CAGGAGAAATATTGTTAAATTAGTTGGAAAAAGCGATCTCAGAAAGAAGACAGTTTTGCAGTTGCATTATAAATTTGAAGGTTGTATTCAGACTAACTCAAACAGACGTGAACAAAATGAAAGATAGAAGCTAAAGCCTACTGATCACACTACAAGTGAACCACCGCATCCCCCGAAGAATGAGCAAAAAGACAACGATATGAACGACAATGTAGTGTATAATATATGTGCATTTGACGCATAACAGTTTAAAATAGCACTGTAGCAGCTGGACAGAGGGTCAGTGACCTCTTAAGGGGAGAGCAGTGATTAGTGGTTATGTAGGGACTGAACCCTTCTATAGAATTTGACCTCTGACCCCTTGTTTTGTTACCTCAGAATAGCACTGTACCCTTATATGGGTTGGAGCAGACTCAAAACCTTCCATGGTACCTAACAGATACCTACACATATCCTATATAAGCTATGTTTACAGAGAGACAGAGTGGTCATCGTGCTGGGTCACTCTCCAAGCTGCTGCAGAGCTTGTAATTGATGCTGAACTCCTTGATGTAATAAACCTTTATGATCAAGAACAGTGTCAAGCGGATTTCTTCTCAACACATCATCGCAGTATTATTGTTCGGACACCACAACAACAACAACAACAACACTGTTCCTGTAAAGCTGGGCATGCCTCTATTCATTATTACATTCATTAAAAGCAGAACAGTAGGGATTTATTGCGTTACATTCAGTAGGAAGTTAGCTGGCGTTAGCTAACTAACATTACATTAGGAACAATCCACAGTCGACATTTTTCTGGATTTGTTTTAGGTTTTGGAAAGAGAATAATAATAATTGTGCTTCTCCTTTGGATGAGGGTAACTATGACCTGGATGACTGAGAATCTTCATAGACAATCGTACTTCTCATTTCAACCTCTCTGGGTAATGTACTGTAATTATTACAAGTAGAGGAACAGCATTTGACCATATCTTAAAAAAAATACAGCCAAAAAAAGCTAGAAAACTTCTTTTTACATTAGAGTCAATGGAGCGCAGCCATGAAAGTGTCGGACCGCAGTTAGAGCGAGTCCTATACTGCGCTGTGCCTTCTGGAGCTCAGACTCATTTAGGGGTCCTCTACTCTTATTCAAATCAAAGCGATGAAAGAGATTCTGCAAGAAAGATTAAACTACTACTAAAGCTTTTTAAACATGTATGCATGTTTTTTATTATTAACTGCATATCATATTCCTGTTGACAATTTTGAAAGAGGTGTCTAGGGTAAATAAAACTCAGAACTTTGATGAATTAGTTGAAATATGTCTTCATTGTGCAAATGTTTATTAATTATTTATATTTTGCTGCATACCTTGTATTCATCAGTCTTCTCCCAGAGAGTGGAGAATTCAAGTAATCATCATCCTTTGGTTGGTCTTAGCACGATAAGGACGTCTCAGTAAAAGCAGATGAAATTTAACAATTGAATCAGAATATTGTGATTTCATTTTGACAAAGTATGGTGAAAAGGAGAAAAACCAGGTTAAACATTTTGGCCACAGCTATCATGCTTCCTGCAGGTATCCAAACCAAAGCCGTTGCAGGTCCCTGTGAATGGCAGACACAGAGAAACTCAAATCCCCAAAGTAGCTTAACATGAATTAGTAAAAACAGAAACAATTAAAAAAACTGTGATTGACTGATATCCGAAACACAAGCTGATGAACGAGAGGAGAGAGAAAGATTAAAAGAAAGAAAACAATAACCCTGATCAGTGTAGCGGTTGAACATGGCACACATGGGAGTCTTGTCAGCGGTCTCCTTCTTGTCACCGTGTGGTCTCTGAAGTTGACAAGTTAATGCATCAGATGTTAAATTGGCAAAAAATATTTGGTCTTACAGTGTGGACTGCATTCCATTATTTCATACCATGGAAAGAATTAAGTTCTCATTTTGGCGGTCACTATGTCAAGGCAAGGCAAGTTTATTTGTATAGCACATTTCAACAACAAGTTAATTCAAAGTGCTTTACATAAAACATAAAAGCAACAGGGAAATATAAAAAAACAAAACAAAAATAAGATAGGGAAATTGAAAAAATACACATTAAAAAATAATAAAAGTTACAGTGCAGTCTACAATCAGGGTTAAAAGAGTTAAATGGAAAATAAAAACAGGCTGAGGGGTTGAGCAAATAATTGAGTTACAATTATTTTGAAAAGAGAATAAACAGAGAAGTACACTTAATCTACTCTCTCTAGCTAGTCTGTACTCAGGTCCATAGCAATCCTTGGGTCCACTGAAACTCCAAAAAGCCTCGAACACTACAGAGAAACCAGGACATGTCTGTCCGCAGGTCACTTTGATACAGTTATACTCTGGACCCACCTGCGTGTTTACAGGTGGACAGAGGGTCCTCATTTCTCACCGTGTAAATATTTAATTAAAAGCAATAGTAAAAAGCTAAAAACAAATAAAAAATAAAACAGGACAGCAAAAGTTACAGTGCAAGTGTAAGTTATCAATCTACTAGTTAAAGACAGAGGTAAAAAGAAAAATCTTGTCATGTCATCATCATCTCCATCATAGGGACTGGATGCAGAGGAGAATGTGTTAAAAATCTGCTTCATATGCTTCAAAGTCACTTGCGGTTAGATATATTAGTCATGTTGATTTCTAGAATGGAAACCCAGCTTGCTAAAAACAAGGACATGACCTCAGTATCCTCAAAGATTGCTTTGACCCTAATCCTTTGTTAAAAGTGCAGCTTTAAATGGTATCTATCATTTTGGCAAAGCATGGATCCGATATTGAATGAGCAATCCTTATTTTGGTATAAAAGTCTCCATTGGGACAAACAGTATTTGTCAAATAGTGATAAGTCCTTATTTGAAGAAGGAGAACTGCCAGCTGTTCTTAGGTTTCTGGAAAGAAGATGAACATTATTTAATTAAATGAAATTGTTTCATGAACATCTAATTACATTATTTAATCCTTTGCACTCTGCTCACTGCACTATTTGTCAATAGATCTTGTTTTTGTTCATAATGTGTATATTTGTGTTGTCTACACTGAAGTCTGTGTCTGATTTTATGATATTGTATTTTTGTATGAGTAAGCACATCATGAGTAATGTACAATCCTGAGTCAAATTCCTTGTATGTGTACACATACCTGGCAATAAAGCTGATTCTGATTCTGATCAGTTTGGTTATCAGGTTGTTGTGACACTTTATGAAAATTATTTTAAAAAGAAGAAAAAAGATCACTCTGTTGTTATTTCATCAAATTATGTTGACAATGTTGGCCATTCAGACCAGTGTGGAGTCATTTTGCCATCTCAAAAAGAGGGAACCAGATCAGACAGTGAATAACATCATGCCATCTACAGTGTTACAATCACCATTTAAAATCTGATTAGCAACAGCCGAGAATCTCAGATTATAATGAAAACTAATGAGTGGAAGCAAAAGGCACTATTGTTGGTATAATGTCATTTACTTTCCAATTTTTCCTTCCATCATGCAGCAAATTTCTAATTATACATCACTGCTAACATTACCATGATACAGTGAGAGTCTAGGTAATCTGTAAAGGAATATTATTCCACTTAACTTTGCATTTTCCCAAATTACAAACAAGGGGGAAATCACCTTCAATTTGTGAATCGTGATTTTCATGATTATTTGTGGATCTTTTATTTGGTTGTGTTATATATTTGCGGATCATGAATAATCTGTTTGGTGTTTTGTGTTTACAAGTTGTAATGTCCATTTGAGACTCATAAGGCCCTATCTTGCACCCGGTGAAAAGCCCAGCGCAAGTGTCATTGCTACTATCCAAATGACGCAGTTGTGATTTTCATCCATCTGTGCACCCATGGGAGTGTTGGTCTTAAAATGAGTCAGGCAAATTGTTTGCACATTGCTATCTTGAGGCAGCAGAAAGCGATTGCGTCATTGACACAAAAAAGCAGGTCTAAAGTCAATGGTGCAGTATTTCACAGTTTTTTGTTATTTTAGGGTCACAGTACTCTTATTATGGTAACAGAGACACTGTACTTATTACGCCTTGGCACAATAGCGTAACTTCATTGTTTAATAAAATCTCCCAACGCGCTACTGTTAGCTAAAGCTGTATCAGGGATCACCCAATTCTGAACAAAACAACTACAGATGAAATCAGCTGGACACAAGTTTACCTTAATTTGCTTTACCTCAATTTATTTTTGGCTTGCACACAGAAGTAACACTGATTTCTGCTGAGATCACTATGTATTTGTTAGGATTTCTGTGCATGTCAGACACCTGCTTTTTCTTTTGTTTTTGTGTGCATGTGTGTTGTCTGTGGAGCCCTTTCCTCTGCTGTGCTTTGAGCCATTATGGGAGGAGGGGGTTCTTCCTTTGATGCATTTCAAATGTATGGTTAGTCTCTAAAAATAACTTTAATTGAAGTAATTTATAAATTAAATCAGCTTTTTTCCCAATATCATAATGTTTTTTTTGTCATCATTTCTGTTTTCTGATTTGTAACACCGCCTTCATAGTGGGCCTACGACATGCAGTAAAATAGTTAGTGCTGTTTTGGCACTTTTTTAACCCTTCAGCCACTTACTCAGTGTTTGCCATGCTCAATCACAGCATAACACTGATAACCCACAGCTGATTACATTATCATATATTATTTCATATATTGTAAATCCCAGGCTGGATTTTGGTAGGATTAACATTCATTTTATTTGCTGTTTTATCTTTTTGCTTTACATCTTTATTATCATCCTTTAAAACTAAAATCATCCTCCTGTTTTAAATGCTTTATCTTTTAATGCTTACTCTTGGTGAATTAACTACTGATTAATTTTTAGCTTCTTTGTCAAAATGTCCCATAACTATATTTACTATATAAATTACTTTACACAATTTTCCTGCTAAATCTATGAATTTAATTTTTTTCTTTTTAACTCAGGTCTCCACTTTATTGAATATTCTGCTCAACATAAACACAAGCTAACAGTTGTTCTGGTGTCATGGGATTTTTATTTTATAATCTGGTTATTAAGATTTTTTCAAAACAATCAATGATGTAGTTCAACCAGAAAAAGTACTACAAAGCCAAGACGCGACTAGAAGGGTACAAATGATTACACCATGATCTTTAGTTAAGACTAAGACTAAAGACATGAAATAAATAAAACCGCAATGTAAAAAAAGAGTATATGTGTCCGAGCTGGTTCTGGGAGCAGACGCATCCAACTCAGTATTACAATAATTAATACATAGCCTACTGCCTTGCTCCGTCTGTTGAGGGTCTTGTGGTAAGGCCCACCTTCTCCACCTCCACATCCACACACAATCAATATTAAATAATATTAAATAGCGTAACCCTATCCCTATCCACTTCCAAACAAAATAAAGACTGATATATGGCACTGAAATCCTTTAACCATGCACAAAACAATCACACTGTTGGTTGACATCAACACTGCAGTCTCCTTGCAAGGGCCCTTATGTTTATAAATCTAGTCTTTAAGTTTTATCAAGCCTGGGGTGCAAGCAACATTATGATAGAATCCATAAAGACCCTGATCTGATGTGATGAATTAATTTTGAATTGTGGCTTTTACCCTAACTTTCCCCACAGCCATTTAGCAATGTTGCTAAATGGTTCTGTGTGTTCTTACAAATATGTGAAGCCACAGATTGAGAGCAACAAGGCTAAGCAAAAAGACTGCACCCTGAAGTATAGCGGCTAACATTATTGGTCAGTAAACATCTTAAACATTATCCAACATCATTTGAGTAGCATTTATCAGTCTTAAGCATATTCAAACATCAAGTAAAAATCTTCAAAATAAACATGGTGTAATCAGCCTCTAAATAACTATATGTTTGTTAAGTAACCCACCTTGCTAAAACCACTAATTTCCAAAACCTACACCAAGGATATGACCTGAGAATACTAGCCTAAAGTATAGATCAGATATTGAATGAGCAATCCTTGTTTTGTTATAAAAGACTGCATTGGGACAGTATATGTCAAATATCAGTAAGTCCTTAAGTATTCGTAGCATCAGTCTTGGTGTAGACTGAGAGAACAAAGTCTGCAGTATTGGCTTTCTCGGTGAAGGGGACAATCACGTACTCTCCAGGCTGCAGACTGTGCTGCTCAATCAGCTCCCTTTCTGCGGTGTAAGCCGGTGGTTGCTTTAGTGGTGTGTTGCTTTTAAAGAAGGAGGACTTCAGGCGTCCTTGTGGTGTCTAGAAAGAATATAACGTTTTTTTAATGTAATGACATTTTCATGACCATCAAATTGCATTAATTATATTATTGAAATGTGGAATTTGCTTTGTGTGCAGGCGAAGTGATATTTGTTCTTACCCCTGCTGGAACCTGTAGGATGTGAAATGGGTAAAAGAATTATACAGAATTTTACATCATTATAAATTTTCATCAGTCAAAAATGTTTGTAACAGGAATAGCCTAAAATACTTTTCATACTTGATAACATGCATTTTGTATCACTTAACCATTAGTTAATCTTTGTGATACCTGATAGACAGCCAGTCCAATGAATAAGAATGTTTTCTTTGTCAGATCCTGCAGAGGTTTCTGCATCAGGGAAAGAAAGACGTTTTTGTCTCCCTGCTCCTCCTTGTCTATGTTAGTCACCTGGATGCGATACTGAGGATTGGTGGCAAACGTAGCTACAGGGGTGGAGAAACATTAACATGCAGGTGACACTTCAGAACGAGTTTTGTGGTTTCTGTGCTTGCACACACGAAAGCATAAAGACACCACAAACATCTCATCCTTGCAGTTATAGTTAAAGGTAAAATAATTAATTCGACTCACAATGGTTCGGGCTTCCGCCTGACGATGTCCCTGCCACCCAGTTGCCGTCATGAATCATGCATGTCCACTGGCAGGTGAAGTCTCCGTCGATAAAGTTAGGGCTCTCACAGCAGATTGACACCCTCGAGAAATAGTGACAGAAGTCCTTCAGCTCCATCCTGACAGACATAGGCAGGCAGAAAATGGACAAAAAACAAAGTTCAGACAGACACAAGTTGAAACATTGCAGTCAACATCCAAACTAAAGAAGATAAACAACTAGTTTTCAAAAAAGGTTTGCTCTTGTTCATTATTACCAGGCCTCACTGTTTAAAGGTACCCTGTGAAGTCTTTGACCACTAGTAGTGCTATAGAGCAATGTTTTATGACAGGAAAGCCTATGCATGTGTGGCAGGTTGAGGGTTTTTCTCCCTCCCGCCACTATATGGCACTGCGCTGGTGCCTTGACAACTGGATGCCACTGCCGTGGCCTATAAGTACAGGTGGTGATGCACCTGTGTCAGTCTCTTTCTTACCTGGACTGGGCGTTTTGGCTGTTGGTGTCAGTGATCCGGCGTTGTGGTGTGCTGATGCGACTGCTGTCACAGCTGTTATGGCCTGCAGCGCAACAGTTTAGCTGGTGGTTAATACCCCTAAACCTGCAGCGTCGCCGGGCGGCGTCCTGTATGCACGCGACATTGCTCTCGGTCCGTGTGAGCGTGTGAGCGTGTGTGTGTGTGTGTGTGTGTGTGCCCATACTTTTAATTTTATTCAGTAATGGCATGCCTTCTTAATCAGTATATGTAGTTGGTATGGTTTCTTTCTTTTTGTTAAGTTACTTTTGGTTTGGTTGTTTTTAATTAGTATTTTGTTAATAAAATTATTTGTTTAAATGTGAAACACTCTCTGCCCTGGCCTTATTTCCTAGGGCGAAATTCCCTAGGTGGCGTTGTTGGCAACTTAAGTTATTATATATTTAAATAGAATTACACCTTCGTCTTGCTACACATGTACATGGTAACATACTAGGAAACATGGCAATGTGCACATTGAAAGCTAGCAAACATGGATGTAAGCAGTGAAGGTTTCATATTTAAAATTTGCCTTTACAAATGTTTTATGATGAAGGAAATACATTCACCACACTTGCTAAATCTCAAAGCTTGAGAAACACTGAGTGTTAACACAAGAGTACGGTCTAGACCTGCTCTTTTATGAAAAGCACTGTGAGATAACTGTTGTTGTGATTTGGCGCTATATAAATAAAATTGAATTGAAGAAAAGAAACATGGTGCTTTTAATGTAGCAAATTTACCAGAACTCTCCATTGTTGAGGTTTAAATGATTTTTCCGATCTTCTTGGTTTACTTTTGTCCACAAATCTGAACTGAGGACAAGATCAAAATAAATTAACACCTTGGTTATTTTTCTTTACAAAAACAGTTGTAATGCAGTGTAAGCTAGTTTTCTCTTGCTATTAAATGCACATATGAGTGAATGTAAGATAAATTCAAGTACTTGTCACTCCAATTTCCATTCCACTCCGTTTTGCCATGAGGGTTCATAACTCTCACCAGCTTCACTTTGGAACCGCCGTACACAACCTAAAGGTGAAGTGAAAAACAAATTAATTCAGAAACTTGTAAAACCTCTAGTACAGTTTCTCCAGTCAATACCAAATGTTTGTGGACAAAATCTTCCTGGCAATTAAACTCATATGGCTCTTATTTTAACTTTGCTCCTTGGTTACCATGTTCTTTACACACATTTTTCACAGCTCCACCACTTACCTCAGTGACTGCTGTGACAGAGTAGGCATGTTTATTTATCAATCCAGTGTGTGCTATATTGTTCTCCAACTTATCCTGAAACAGACATACCAGTTAAATCACCCCAATGAGTAAGATTTTTTTTAAAGAATCTGTTTCCAGGTTATTAGTTCTAACCTCTATAGAGGCAGTCCAGCAGCAAACCATCGACTTGCACTGAAAGGCTCTGCTCAGTGCGAGCCACAGCTCAATTTTATGATCTGCGGTTTGGGCCTCCCTGAGTTTTTTAGTCATGTGCACGCCTCCACTGAAATCCTTGCAGGCATCTGATGGGAACCCACCCCATATGTATGAGTATGAACCACACACTCTGTGGGAGACCAAAAACATTATCATAGCACATTCTGACTTTGCAAGTGGTTGTCATGGATAACATTCATCTATACATCCAGTCTTGATTCTGGTGTTTGTGCCACAGCTGTGACCTACTGATTTGAGTTGTGTTTTGAGAGTGAGCGAGTAGGTTTCATACTTGGCATATGCCTTCTCCAGCAGAGGAACCCAGAACTCGTTTCCATTTTTGGGGTGAACAAACACTAACTTGTTGTTGCATGTTGGCAGGAGGTCGTCAATGACAACATCTACCCACTTGCCAAACCTCCAAAACTGCCACAGAAAGGACAAGTTAGAACTACAAGTTATCAGAAGACTAGAACATATTGTGTAGCTGTATTGTCAAAACATTTAGCCTAATCCTTTACCTTGAAGTGAAAAATCCCTGCATAGTTAATGAAGGACTGTTCTATATGCACAATTTCCTTCACCAGGTCTTCCTGGAATGTCAGTGAGGAAATTGCAGACAGAAACCAGCAGTCACCTGGTGAATGAAGAAAACAAATACATTTCTCAAGCACTGCCAGCTGTATGATTAAGGGGTGTGTCCAGGAGGGTGGCCTGGAAGGCCGGAAATCTGATTGGACACCGCTGGTACTACCCTCTTCTGTTAAACTATGATTGCTATCTGCCTGGTCAGAGGCAATACTTTAGTTTGTACTAGAGATGAAATGGTAAGGAAAAAAATTTAAGTTTTATATTATATACTGTAGATATATTATCCTATCTGTTTGCATCAACATTAAACTAATACCAGCTAATACCTTATATAAACATATGAAAACCATGTTAAGTGTGCATCAACATCAAAAATGTTATAAAGTTATAAAGTATATTCAGTAACCCTTGGCACAATTAACATAAATACAAGTCTCAAGAAGACAGTGATAGCAATTGCATTGAGCCAAACATTGGGCATAGTGTACATACAGAGGGGCATTGTATGGGTGTCTACAGCGTTTGTCTTGTTGAAACACTTGTACAACCAATTTGACAACTGCCGAAAATATAAATGAACAAAATATGTTGCTTCAGTGTCTAAACTATGTAACGTGTTATCACATGCAGAGGGCGAACACAGTCTTCAGACACACAATGCATCCAGCAGCATAACAACGCCATCACCCAATTACCAGGGCAATTGAGAACGAGACAAAATTAAATTTGCAAGATTTTTGAAGCTTAACAAATACTGATGCAAGCAGCAAACAACAACAAAAAAATATTCTTAGTATGTCCTCACTTCAAGGGGAAAGGATGAAGGATCACATCCCAGGAGCACTGGCAAAGGTTAGAGGAGTTATCTCAGGAGTCCCATTGAATATGTCAATGGAAGATGTAAAAAATTAGATTTGGGAGGCAAAGTAGTTGAGGCTACAAGGTTAAAAAGTAAAGGAGATGGATCATTAAAAAGATACATTATCTGTGGTTATGCAATTTGAGAGAACGATCCCTAAGTCAGTGCAAGCATGACTTTGACAGGAGGAAGGAGAAGTAGTTCCTATCAACAGGGTATAATTAGTAAGATACTTATGATAAAACACACTCCAAATGAGTTTAGATATCGATCCTTTTCTATGTGTATCGAACCTAGACCAGGAAATGTTGGTATCAGAAATATCGATACTTTAGTATCGATCCGCACATCACTACTTTTAACATGAGCACACAGAGGACAGGCAGGGAAGAGAGACATGCAACAGACGCACAAGAGACACATGTACTTCATACCGCCCCTGCATAATTCAGTGCTCCACTTAGGCCACTCGATTCAAAAAAGTCTGGACACTGGTAAAGAGCCTTGCTTACCCAAATTGCCTTGCCCATAGTCAAACCGTGAAGCTCCATCACAGAAAATAGGCTCACCAATAATCTTTTGTCTTTTCAAGATTTCCTGGACAATACAACAAAGGAAATAATTTAGATGTAGACAAGCATGTAAAAACATGCATAAAACAATGCAAACATCAGAATGTAAAATGTGTGATTCTTCTTCTATACAAATATACACATGTTGTATTATTATTTCATTTGCATCAGGAAGAAAAAATATATTTAAAGAATTTTACTGCTGGTCGAAGCCACTCCACTTTGTCTTTTAGATTCAGCTTAGACATGTCTCCCAGAGATGGGCTGTTAGGTGGAAAGGTGGTGTCCTCAAACAGTGTCCCTTTGCGAAGGTGGTGATCTTTCAGCTGCACATAGTCTTGATTGTTGAACCTGGCAGGGTTGGAGGGACACCCTTCACTGCCGTCTTGGTAACGCAAGATGATGACGGAGGGGCAAGTTCCAGATTCAGTCATGTTGACGGGAGGCTTCAGACAGAGTCACAAGGAGAAAGGCAAAATAAGAGAATTCAAAACATAATATTGAAATTCAAACGATGGGTCTCAGAGATGGAGATAGTTACCTGTGAGAGAGCAGAGAGAATTGACTTGGAATTTACCAGTTTGGTATTTGCTGACTGCCTAACTACTCACTTACTTATATACATAAATCTGAAGTTAGCCCCGCCCCCCAGCAGGTATAAAATTACAGGTTGGTGGGAGGTTTCTGGCGGAGAAGACAAATTATCTGGTATAACCTGTTACCTTTACTGAAATATCACCTGACATTCTAATTGTCAACCTTCATGTCAGGCCTGCTAAAACGTATTCTTAAATCCACCTTTACTGTTTTTGTAGCCTACTCTATTTTAAGCTTTTTAGTATTTTTTCATTCTTAATTATCTTTTTGTGTAAACCATTACACTGAAGGAAGGAAAGAAGTGTATGATATTGTGGAGAAAAGGACAATAGTGAGGAATGAGTGCAGAATGATGCTACATGAGGAAACGATATAGCCCTCAGCTATTAACAATGTTTTACATCTTTTTGGCATCAAATTAAAAAGGCAAGTCAATTAAGGCAAGGTAAGTTTATTTGCATACAGCACATTTCAACAACAAGGCAATTAAAATTGCTTTACATAAAACATAAAGAAAAAGGGTTGGTTTTTTGCTGTGAGTTGAGGATGTAAAAATCTAATCAAAGCACACAACATCCACCAGGGTACCATCATTTTTGTCCAGGGCCAGACCAGTTTCATGACTTTGTTTTTTTAAAAGTGATTCTGTTGAACCACAATTCTAAAGCAATGTCTGATTTTCATCAGTTAATTTTCAGTTATTTTGTATTTAGTATTACTTTTTTCAGTTTCAAGTTATTTCAGGGACCATTGTGGGTTTTTCTTTCTTAAGAAGGGTACCAACAAATTTGTCCACGTCTGTACATGGGGAGGGAGAGAGAGAGAAGTGTAGGTGTGTGCACCTGAAGGGAAAAGCAAGGTGAGCAGATTAAAGTAGTTTGTGAATAAATACTACCATATCGATATTAGGTGAATAATTACCACCCTACTAGAAATATAGTAATTTATTTATTTTTAAATATTTTAAAATAAAAAATACAATTAAAGAAGTTATATTATACTTATTTTCAGGTTCATAATTTTATTTATGGGTTATACAAGAATAGGTTTACATAGTTCAATTTATAAAAAAATCCATATTTTTGTCATACTGCACATTGCCGCAGCACCTCTTTAAACCCTGTGTGAACGCTCAGAGTGAAGCATCTGACTTCTATTCGATCTTTGTTGGTAGTTGTACATTCGCATTGTCTAGGTAAAGACTACTATAGCCGAGTAGAAGCAGAATTGGGCGTGTCCTGAAAAACAAAGTAGTGTGATCCAAACCAAAGCCACTTCATCTGGTAACCACATGACTTCAGTTCAGCCATACACAATCCCAAAACACACACACATTTTAAACTATTACCAGAAATACACAAGACATTTTTGTGTCTTGTGTTTTTTTTTTTACACAGCATTTTAAATGTCCTACAGATAATTTGTGTTGTTTATTTTCTTTTTATCTTTTTTTCACAGGGTTATCTTTTGTTGGCTATAGGCATTGCCTCAACTGTACCTACCCCCTAGACATGTTTTATTTAATCTTGAATGCATGTACTTTTATTCTTTTTTTTTTTTTTTTGCTACTACAACATTATATTTCTAGTTCATTATGGATATGACAGTTCTAAAGAACATATTTTGCCAGGGACAAGTCTCCCTTATCACACTGAACAGAAATTCCCCCAATTCTTGTTAAGTCAGCTTGAATGAAAAACTTCATTCAAGTGTTGTACAAACAGTGAGATCTCATTGACTAAAATGACGTAAACATGTTGTGTGCTTTGATTAGACTATAAATCCTTAACTGACAGCCAAAAACCAACCTTCAAAAGAAATTAGGGTGTGGATAAATATCGTACGATAAAGAGGATCAGGTTTGACTGTTGTGAGAGATGGGAACACTAAAAAGCAGAACAATGGAAGGCTAAAAACGTGATGATTCATCACCTATTGTAGAAATTATGGTGAAGATTCTACAAAACTGTTATGGGTGAAGAAATAGGTATACTGGGTAACTGGTAAAATTGTATTTAATGTATTTTTTATATTTCTCTATGTTGCTTTTATGTTTTATGTAGAGCAGTTTTAATTTCCTTGTTTTTGAAATGTTGCTATGCAAATGAACTTGCCTTGCCTTGTAGACTTTCCTTCTTAATTTGATGCCGAGTGCCAAAAAGATGATACACTGTTAATGGCTGAAGGCTAAATCGTTTCTTCATGTAGTATAATTCATCACTTAAACATCCTTTTTTTTTCAGGAAAGAGAAAAGGAGAGAGGGGTGATAGTTTATACATATCTCAGCAAGTTTCTTTTCTGAATATTCTTGATTTAAAAATGACTTGAGGCAGACTTCCTGAGATGTGCATCAGATAAAAAAAAGCCACTGGTGATCCATGTTTTAACATCAAAGCGCATTTTGAAAATACCCATTATGGCTAATCCTTTTTTTCCTTCATATTAAAAAAAAATCATGGATGGACATAACACATCAACAGTCTAGCTATTAAAGACAAAACTATTTTGTCTTGTTCACTTAAATGAACAAAAAAAAGTTAGTTCAAGTTTATGCCCTTACACAGAACAAAATTACAAACGCAACACTTTTGTTTTTGCCCCCATTCATCATAAGCTGAACTCAAAGATGTAAGACTTTCTCTATGTACACAAAAGGCCTATTTCTCTCAAATATTGTTCTGTCAAAATCTGTGTTTGTGAGCACTTCTCCTTTGCCAAGATAATCCTTCCACCTCACAGATGTGGGATATCAAGATGCTGATCAGACAGCATGGGTATTAACAGGCATGCCTTAGGCTGCAGCACTGAAAAGAAAACCACGTCGCACCTGCACAAAATGAAACTTGCGCATCTAGTTGAACAGTGCCAGAGTCTGCAGCCGGACCTTATTGCATTCCAGCAGCAACATTAGTGGGACAAGTCCAGACACGGATGTGATGGCACTCCTCATAGGCGCACATAATTTCAAAACAAGACAATAAATGTCTCGAGTCTCTCACTGAAGATTTAGTTAAAACTCTGGACTAATGCAAGATGGAAAGCATGGGATTCACATGGACTATTAAAATGTTGATTAGCAGGACGGACTGGGCAATATGGATGTACATCTTTCAGTAGATACTAAACATGTCATCGTATAAGTAGTATTTTCCTTTTGAAAATGTATTAAAGGAAACCTGGAGAGCCAGTTTGAATGGGCCTGAAGCAATGATATTTATAATTTACAGTAGATAAAGTTTTCCAGTAGAGTAGATGCTGGATCATAAGCCAGTACAAGCAGTTGATCCAAATCCAGTATTAGGACAGAACCAGTCCAGACGTTATCAGGTCACACAGACCCAGGCAAAATACAGGCAGCCTCAGCCAGTAAAAGCACAGAGGTCTACAGGCAGAATCAGATACAAGCAGCTCAGACCCTAATGGAGGATTGAGTTAGTGTGCAGAGGTCCATTCAAATGAGCAGTAGTATTTCCTAGAAGAGGTTTCCATTCAGGCTTATTACAGAGACAGACTGTTTTAAAGGACAGATAGTAGTAAGAGCACTGCAGTGTCAGGTGTGACTTAATGGCAAATTGTTTACATGGCTCAGGAGTCAGGTAGGAGAGTTTTTCTTAGGTGGTACCATAGGTGTGTGCTTATGCTCTGGTCAAAGCACTTTCTGACGTAACAGTGCCAATATTAATGGGTTAAGCAAGGGAAGCTGGTGAGGCACATACCAACACATTTCATACACTTTAATCAAAAATATATCAATAGGTTCCATGGGTAATGAGGGGGTCTGTGCCCCAGTAGAGCTTTATGTCTAGCAATGCCCCTGGTAATGAGATAATCAGTGTTATTCACTTCACCGGTCAGTGGTCATAATGTTATGGCTGATCGGTGTATGTAGTATGTATAACCTAGAATAGGTGCACAATTGTCATTGGATAGTTGGTCAGGCAGGATTCTGAACTTGATTGAACTTTATCCTGTCCGGTGGTGATCATGACCCTGTTAATCTGCAACTTAACATCTACCGCCAAGATTTTAATCACACAGGCTTGTAAATTCAACTTTTTATATCAGAACCAGATATTTTCTGACAGTTAATGTTTTAGACACATGATTGACCAGGGAAAGTTGCAAATCCAAGCCATAGAATTGTCTATGGGATAAAAATTAATGGGACTTTTACTTCCAGTACCAATGATGGCCAAAAAAGCTCCTCATTTTGCAAATCTTGACATCCATTGTCAACCGCTTATCCTGCGTAGAGGGTCGCGGGGGACTGGAGCCAATCCCAGCTGCCATCAGGCGAAAGGTGGGGTACAACCTGGACAGGTTGCCAGTCCATCGCAGGGCCACACAGACAAACAACCACTCACACCTAAGACAATTTAGGGTCACCAATCAACCTAGTCTGGACAGTGGGAGGAAGCTGGAGCACCTGGAGAGAACCCACGCAGACACGGGGAGGTAAAGGCCGGGGCAACCGGGGTTCGAACCCACAACCTTTTTGGCTTTGTTTAACAAGAAATCACAGCATAGTTTTATTGCAACATCGATCCGGAGGCACCACTTCTAACAATTTGATGTAGGTAATTGTTAACCACAGAGCACAATACCAGAGAACACCACAAGTCCTAATATCTTCCTTGGCAAAGCCTTTGTGTGTCTAACAACTATTAAAAATTAGATTCCAGAAGTGAGAGTCATTTCCTACAGGGTCCGTAAGTACCGGGTGGAAAACTAAAGGTTTGAAACATTAACAGTGTGCATGAACAAGAAGTCCTGCAACCATTTTAAATTACCAGAAATACAGACATTTTTATTTATAGCACTTAAAGTACTCAAGGCACTTTACATGGGGGATTACATGATCAGCATAAAAACCTCAGAACTTAAACAGAGCATAACAGGACAGAAACAAACTGGTGAGGCTAAAGGTCATTTAAGATGTCTTAGCGACAAAATCTGTATTTTTGCAGGCAGGAGAAAATGTGGAAAAGTCAAGACATACTTTGCATTTGCACTGAACTTAGTCCACAATGCAGTTATTTGTATAAAAGTTTCACAATTCCATAAGACAAATTCAGATGAGTGAGGACAGCAGACATCAGGAACATGAAGTCAAAGCAACATGACTGTACATGTGATCAGGTATTTAGACATGAGATTAGGATCACTTGAGCAGTTTTGGCTTTTAGTTCCTACACATGAATGAGTAGGCAGGGCTTTGTCAGGAGGCTAAACAAGTTATATTGGTTTCAATCAGGCAGTTGTATTACAATTATAGAAAACATTGCAGAATGCTTTTTAAACTGCAAAATATTTTTCCCATTAAACAGCGACATCCATCTTCAGACTAGAAGCCTCTTGCCACCTGAAGAAGAGGGAGCCAGATTAGACATGGAACAATTTGTACACAAGCAAGACTGCTCAGAAACTCTACAGTCCCCACTCAACACATGGATCAGGTTATGTACAGTGTGAAAACACTTTAATCTGGTTAGCAAACATCTGCAGATGATCAGCTGTTCTCAGATTACAATGATAACCACTGATGGAAGACAAAAAGCCATTCAATGCGATTTACTTTGCATTTTTTCCCTTCCATCATGCTGCAAATATATTTCTGAAAGATTATACATGACTGCAACAATACCACACCACTTGAGTCCACATAAGTTTTGGGAATCCAAAAATACTGGACCAAATTTTGTTTATTACCAATTTTTAAATACTTCAATAAATCTCCCTCCTTCATACAAGTCAAACCTATAGTGAAACTGAAGTGTTACAAAGCAGTTTCTCAGGAACAGTTTGAGTTGATCCTGTTATTTACTGCTGCAGTGACCTACTTTTCCCCTCTAGGGGTGTCCTGAAAACACCCCTGAAATCGCAAGGTATTTTGGGCCTTCCTGAACAACTTTTCTGTAGTACAGGCATTTGACTGCTTGTCCAGTATAAATACAGACTTCACCGTTTTGTCCTTTTCATCTTAGAAACAAACATGTCAAGTGTACTGTGTGATGCTGTAATCTAATGTTCAGAAAACCAAGCTTCACCACTGAACAATCTGCCGGTAATTCCAGCTATTTCAGTTTGGATTTCATCACAACAATAGACAGCCATTTGTGTACGAGTTTAAAAGCTACCTGTCAAATTCACTCGACCGCAGACTCCGGGACCAGACTAGCAGAATGGTACCTGTCAAAAGCAAATGTGGAAAATGAGAATAGACTAATTTTTAAACTAGTCTTCCTCAAGTACAGCTTTAAGAGACTCAGAAAAGTGGATTATATAAACAATCGTCAGTTGTCGCATCAGACGGCACTTCCTATTCCACGTTTTCATCACTGACAAAGCTACTTTAGGGATTCATTTGGGCAAATTAAGCTTATCAATAAGCCACAATTGTACAATGATTCAAAGCACTTGTACTTAGGATTTTGCAGTTTTAGATCATATTGTCCAAACTTGATCTCTGGACAAAGTGGGACATTTAGTAGGCCAGGAACAAGTCAGCCTTTGCTCGATTTAGCTCCAGATCAGATGAGTGTATGACAAGTCAATGTCAACTCTCGACAGTCAGTCATTACAAGTGATGTGTTCATATCAGGCTTTTTAAATCAGTTAAGTTTGTTTTCTGCTTGAGTGCAGAAGCTTACAATTCAGATTTAACAAAAATCAAACCAGAGTGTCTCCATTGTACAAAAGTGAGCTTAAGCTTACTTGACCATTTCAAGATTTAAAAAAAAAAACCCAGAAAACTTACAAGATCTGTCCAACATTGTAGCTGCACCCCACAAGATGAATCACTCTTCACACAAATCTTCAGAAGTAGCCAGCTTAACCTTTGGAAAGCAGAATTAAAGAAATTGTGAAAAACTAGACCTGATCAAGTCCATTCAACACTACACGTCCTTGTAATTGTGTTCAGAAAACCAATGATCACCACTGAACAGTCTGCCGGTAATTCCAGCTATTTCAGTTTAGATTTCATCACAACAGAAGCAGCCGGTTGCCATTTTACAATGACCGATGCAAATTCACCTGCATGAAATGAACAGTCTTCAGTCAGGAGGTTTAGTGTGGCGTGTACACAGCGCTGCATGGCAACTTGTAAGAGAGGGAGGTGGGGGGAGAAGTACATTAGAAACACAGTTGGCTACGACATCGGGCATCCCCACTTCCTACCCACAGTTAATTACCACACTAGTGAGGACGTGTTCACTTACCCATCATTCCAACAGGCTCAGCAGCTGATGTATCTTTCTGGCCTCAACATTTCTTAAGGCAGCTCACACACCTCTTCAGCTACAGAAACGGGGGGGGATGTGTTAATCGTGACAGACGATCCATTTATTTTGACAGGTAACAGAACTGCATCATCTTATGTTCAGAAAACCGAGAGTCACCACTGAACAATCTGCCGGTAATTCCAGCTGTTTCAGTTTAGAGTTCATCACTACATTTAACAGCTATAGCATATTTTACACACAAGTGCATTAAACCAACCTCAGTCTTGACTTTGCATAATCTTCTACGGGCCCACCTTGACCTGTCATAAAGGGGAGAAACTTTCATTAACAGTTTGTAAAGACGGTTTACCAGTGGCAATCAACAGCAATCTGAGGCTCAGAACAGTGAGTATGAAACATCGTCAGTTGTCGCATCAGACGGCACTTCCTATTCACAGTTTTCATCACTGACAGCTGCATTAACACAATAGATAGTTGAGTTAACTTCACTCAGTCACTCACCTCCTAGGGACATGAGAATCCATATTTTTCAATATGGGACTTCTTAAACTTGTGCAGAGAGCTGCCAGACTTAAGCTGATCTGAGGAAGAAGACATTCATGGTTTTAAAAAAAATATTTTACATATATAACAACTTTGTTAGTTACTTCCTTCCTAAAGTATTCCCAGAAAGCCACAATAATCACTTAAACTCTGCCACATTGTTATGATACATAATATTTAAATATGTAGTCAATTTAATTTTGACCAACACACATTTAAATCGCACAATCAGGGCGCCTGTACGCTTTCACCAACTTTTATAGAGAGAAAACGAGATTGTAGAGGAAGAAACTGTTGTATGTTCGCAGCACAACACACTTAATAAAAGCTGAGAGAGAAACCCCCTCTCCCCCGAAATCTCACTTTGTCTTTCATTTGGCCCATCAGTCAGTCTTCCCCACGTGGTTGGTCGAGGCCCGTCAGGACACACTAACGTTGCTCTTTAGCTACCGGATATCACGATTTAAATATGTCACAACATGCCTCTAAACTAGCATGCTCTTTGAAGAGTCAATACTGTGGCCTCGTATTTACTGACCACTCTGAAGTAGTTAAACAGTGTGCACGGGACGCACACAGCTGCTGGATCGACAGATGAATTCAAAAGAGACAGAAACGTTGTCGGCGAACTTTTTATACCCCGAGCGTCGCGTCGCAGGAATTAAACGTCACTTCTTCTTCTTTAGCATTTATCGCTCTCTGTCGCACCCTGCTGTACCGGAGTGTGAACATCATGACTTTTATATTACGTTTTTGGAGTAATTTGACGACTGTACAAATACTTTTAAAATTATTTTAAACTGATAATTAACTATTGGATTCACTTTAAATGACAAGAACGCTGAACTTTCCAAACAATAGTGAAAAGTAACTTATTTCCATATGTGGCCACTGTTCCACTCTACCACATTTCAGAGGCCCATACTGTACTTTGTACTTAGCAACTAGTTATAAATTACTTTCCAGATTAAGATTACATACAAAATAAATGATAATCTTATAAACAATGATGCAATGTTTATCCCAACAGTATATAAAGCAGTTAAAATTAGATCCCCCTTGACCAGTTACATCTACTGCTTACACATTAGAACATGAAGGCTAATAATCCAACAATATTATCTCAGAAATCTCTGAATGTGTATCTTTCAAATGTTCACTTTCTTTTGTAACACATTTAGTTTAACTTATAGATAACTCAGTAAACGGACTCTAAGTCTCGTACATGTATGAAAAGTAAATAGGTTATGTACTTTTAATTCATTTTCTGTTGGCACTGGGTTTATTGGATCTACTGTTCAAACATCTGCCTTTTTCCTTCAATGATCTTGTGAGAGTCCAAAACGTTAACATTAATCTTCAATAAGTTGAGTTAAGATAATGTGCGGTCGCAGGGTGGCGCTGTTTCAGAGGTTACTCTCTGGTCTTCTCCACTAATTACATGGAGAGTCTCATTAATTGTTTGTCTGCTGGCTGTATGGAGACTCAGTTCCTTGCTGTGAGCGTCATTTTGTTCTGGATTTGTTTTCTCGGCAGACTTTGTGTATCACATCACATCCAGAACCACAACACATTTCCTTCAGCATTTTATTATTCACCAGTTTCAGGTAAAGTTTTTAAACTTACTTAAATTGTTTTGGTTTTACACACAGTTTCTTTCTTCCTGCTCTGCTAATACTCCATCCTTAATTTGCATACACAATGTTTTTTGGGTTGCAGCGTTGCCATAAGACAATACCTTTATGGGATGTGACCTGTTAGAAACCACTGATTCATCTATCATCATTTTCTCAGGATAATCAGGGGGCATTATGGTAGTTCACCTCAAACTGTTTCTGCATTACTGTACACACATTATACCTTTCTGATATTTGCTGTTTCAGGAAAAGTTGGAAGACATTAATTGTGTCCTTCCCTGGTTTTGTGGAAAGAGTAATGAGAAGAAGATAAAAAAGAAGGTTAAGTGTATGTATGTGTTACTGAAGTGAATGAAAAGTGTGCGTTGGCTGTCAGTGAGAGTGGCAGCTTGAAGGTGTGTGTGTGTGTGCATTGATCTACTGCAGCAGCATGTTACCACCTGTGAAGAAGGACCGTATTATTACTCAGCTCCCCAAGGTTAGTGACACACACACACACACACACACACACACACACACGGTCTGTAATGCAATTATACCTAACAACGAGGAGTCTAAAGAGTCTCAAATGCTGCTCTTTGCTTCTCTGAAAGTGGATGACTGCAAATTAGCAAAATGCTGTTGCCCTCAGAAAACCTTGTAACTTCCAGTCTCCAGTACAGACATTTTTAACTCCTATTGAAAGTTTGTGAGCTGAGAAAGTTTCACCGTCTGAATGAAGCACTGTAGATACATTTTAGAAAGTTAATGTGGTCAAAATGAAGCAAGACCTGTTTTCATCGGCAATATAAAGCTAAATACTTATACAAGCTTAATACTTATGCTAATACAAGTTTTTCATTTGAAAGCAACAATTGATGAGGTCTAATGAGCATGATTTTAGTTGGGGACATTGCTTCTTTTAAATTTTTGGGAAATGTTCCAAGATAGTTTTATTTATCAGGAAAAGTGTACCCTGTCTGATATCCCGCTTTCTCTACAGTGTTTTAGTCCAAATGCAGCGCTGCACACCAAAGATGGCTTCCACCCACAGGTGAAGGCCATCTGCCAGGTACAGAAGACAGACACAGTGAGGTAAGATCACAGAAGGGTTAGTATGACCACACGCCCTTTAACTTTCGGTGTCAGCTCACAGCCACCGACACCACACCCTTCACATCTGACTGCTTTGGTCTGGTGGTCTGGTAACACGTTCGAAGGATAAGGCCATGATACATCTATGTTTTTTTGAGGCACGTGTAAATATTGACAAAGAGGTCACAAATATATAGTTTAATTAAAAAAAAAGGCTCAGTAAATTCCTAAATCAGCTGGGCAGTGTAGTTTAGCAAATGCTGCTCATAATGAAGGAACAATGAAGGAACATGTCACCCAGTACAACAGTGAGACTCATTGATGGACAACAATAGAGCTCTATGTTACAGAGGAATAAGCCAAATCAGGCTTTGGCTCCACAGATAACACATGTTGGTGGGATCCATTCACTGTTGGTTTCAGTGATTTCATGGAATTTGTTGACAATACTGAAAATGTAGAAGATCACCACTCTTATCCTTCAAAGACCTCACAGTTATTCGCCACCACCACAAACTCCACATGCTTTACGTCTGCTACTTTTCTACACAGCTATGATGAACATTTTATAGAAGATAACCCACTAAAGTTACCAGTTGACAGCCCTCTGCTGTAATTTTCATGAGTTACTAACGACTCATAACAAAAATAAAGTGAGCAGTCAGAACCGCCTGAAGGTGAAGTTATTTAAGGGTAAAGTGTAAAAACAAGACAATAACAATATCGCTCATTTTCTCTGATAATCAGATTCATGCAGAAAAGATTGTAACACACACGCACACACATAAGACCTTTCTCTGACTTAAAATATATTTAGATTTTTGATTTGGAACAAAAATGCCTGCAAGCACAGTATGCAGACTCTTAATACATTTAATGAATTAAAATGATAAAGCAGAATTTGACACTTTGTGCTTGTTACAGCAATACAGCCATATGAGGAATGAGGTTGCAAATAAATGCTGAAGCCCAGCATTAGCAGATGATTATTTTTGTAAAAAGCTTAAGAGTGCCTCCATCATATTAAATGTCCCTTAATTTGTGATCATTCAGTCAGTGGAGATGCTTAAATCAAACCTAAGCTAATAAAGTTATTAAAATGATTCGTCTTTATTCTATGAGCTGACTGAGGACCATGAAGGGCTTCATGCATTTGGCCTAGATCAAACTTAAAGTTATTTTAGAATGTGAAAGTTTAAGGGGGCTATGACACATAAACTGAAAGGGGTTAATTAGCGTCAACTCCTGCAAGTTGCAGTGATGTCCGCAGGTTATTGATCATGTTACTGTGTATTTCATGCTGTTGGGTTGTTGTTGTTTGGCTGCTGACAGTATCGGCTCTCTGTTGCCAGCTTTAATATCGCCAAGGTCATTGTGGTGGGAGATGTTGCAGTTGGGAAAACGTGTCTGATCAGCAGGTAAGAAGCAGTCATGAATAAATAGATAAATTAGAGGAGGATGTGCCTGTTTTTGCTATCTAACTATGACTTTATTACTTGTTGAAGTGTTTCCTCACCAAATGTAGCTGCAGTGCACTGCAAGTTTTGGTTCTCAAAAACATGGTTGAACCTAATTGTGTTTCAAGTTGAGGTTGCATTGCCACAAAAATGTCAGTATGTGATTAAAATCATTACATAAATCGATATTAAGTTTGAGGACTAAACTCAAAATATGTTACAGCTTAATGCTTTTAATTTCACATATCTGTGGAAGTGATCCCACTGCTACAACAGAAACACTGATCATAAAACATGTTCCAAATGTGAAAAAATAAATTGGTCATGTGTTGATGTAGAGGTCAGTCACACAGGGAAACACACAGTCAACCTGTGCTCAGAGCTGAGACTCACGTTTTCTTTGGGAAAGATTTAAATCATCATTAAGGGTTTAACTGAGTTACTTTCTGGTTGATACAGGAGTGAGTTAAAGAAACTGGAGTCAATTTATGTGTCTTCATTAGATCTCCTGAAATGTCAGTCAGGGTGAAGACTGTGGTGACTACTACAGTTTTATGACTTTTCACTATTTATTATTTTTATTAAACAATTAAACAAGATAAAAGTGATTTATTAGATTTGTTTTCTTACTGCTGATCAGTCAACATGTTGTTAGACAAAATGATTAATCAAAAAATAGTTGATGATTGAGAGATTTATTCATTACAAAAAACTAATGGTTGTCAGTTTCAGCTCTAATATATACTCTCTCACTGGCCCCTTGTTCCTGTAAGGTTCCGTAAAGGTGCGTTTGATAAGAACTACAAAGCAACCATAGGGGTGGATTTTGAGATGGAGCGTTTCGAGGTGCTCGGCGTTCCCTTCAGTTTACAGCTGTAAGTATATCGCTATACCACAGAGAAACACTCAGTTCATAGACTGCCCTAAACAAACTAATTCATTTACTGGGCTGACTAAAATGGACAACAAGGCCTGTTTAATGCTACCCAACCTTCATTTGATCACATAAAAGTTAAAGTTACTGAATGTCTGAACAACCTATTTACATATAAAGTCACATAATATGCTCTAGAGCTCTCTTGCCTCCCTTTCCTTTTCTTCTTCTCCTTGTTGACCTTGTTAGCTATGCTAGCAGTGTGGCTCTAGGGATGCCGATGTTGGTCGGTTCACCATTTTAGTCCTGAAATATCACTATTGGCTGGACTCATCTTCTGGGCACCGTGAAGATAAATCCTAATGACTTTGGTGATCCCCTGACCCTTATTCTAGCGTCTCTGAAGGTCAATCTTTTACTAATTAAATTAATTAAATATCTCAATTTCTACTTTATGGATTGGCACCACATTGTATACAGTCTTTGTTTCCAGAGGATGAATCCCACTGATGTTGGTGATCCCCTGACTTCCTCTGGCAACACCATGAGGTTGACATTTGTGGTGTGAGTAGAATGTCTCGGCATCTGTGTGCATCGCCATGAAACCTGGTTAAAAAAAATGTTCATGACACCCCGGGATTAATTCTAATAACTTGAGTGATCCCTTAATGTTTTCTGTTGCACCATTATCAATTTAAAATCTTAATTTTTCCAATACTTTGGTTTTATGATGGTTCTGCAAAACTAATATAATTCCCTTCAGCCTCAGTTCTGCTTTTTGTTTAGGACTAATTAACAAATGTTAACACTGGTGACACACTATAGAGAAGGTGGTGAAGATGGTGAAGATGGTAAACATTATACCTGCTAAACATCAGCATCTTAGCATTGTCATTGTTAGCATGCAGATGGTAGCTGTGTAAGCTGTGTACAGCCTCATTAGCTTTGCTGTAGAATCTGATCTTGTTTGAATAAAGCTGATAATTGTTGACAAAGGCCTACTGTGGCTCTACTCTCAAATCTGAAAATTATGTATAGGCTTAACCCCACTCTGCATCTTAGTTTTTTTAACAACCACTGTGACTGCTGGACATCACACCACAGATCCTCCCCTCTTCATCTCACCAAAAAACCCAACGAGAACAATTTAAAGCTGCATGTGATCTGTTTCAGATGGGACACAGCAGGTCAGGAGCGCTTCAAATGCATCGCTTCAACATATTACAGAGGAGCACAAGGTGAATTTAGCTTTACTATTAGACCTCTCCCCTCACTAAAGTAAATTACCAGCATTGTCTCACTCACCTTCTCATCAAGCTCTTTGTTTTTCTTTTGTACTGTACTTACTGTCTGTCTCTTTACACTCCTCCAGCCATCATAGTGGTGTTTGACTTAAGCAGTGTGAGCTCTTTAGCACATGCCAGGTAAGGAGTACCCCATTATAACCAAATTATTGTACCATTAAAATGCAATTTGAAGTCTAATAATTATTTGTGTGTAGGCAGTGGCTGGAGGATGCCATGAAGGAAAATGACCCATCCAGTGTTTTACTGTTCCTTGTCGGTACCAAGAAAGACCTCAGTGTGGGTGAAATTGATCAAATATTACTAAAATGGACATATAGAGCTGAAACACTGATCAATTAATTGATTGGTTGAATGACCAGCAGGCCTCATATCTACATGCTCAGGTTAAACTACAGTGGTTGGCCCAACTATCTGGATAGGCAACTTCTTCTGAATGCCGTGGGCCGCTCAGTTGTCCAACCACCATCACTTGTAACTGGTTCTAATAGTGTTACCAACAGCCACAAATTAGCAACCCCACTGGAAAAAGAAACTTTTCTTGATGGTGTTCCAAAAGGAACATAGTGCCAAAATAAGAGTTGCATCCAAGTCTACATGGTCATCTGGTGGGCCTGCAGCAGAGAGAAGCCTCAACCTATTTACAGTTACTTATTCTTTAATGTATAGTTTTTAGAATAATATTACATTTGAAAGACGTTTCTGTTTTAGTTCTGTACTTTTGGCAGGAGTGAACAGTGATTACAAAGTATCCAAGAGGCCAAAGGGCCTTGTTTCAAAAAGTACTCAATTTACAATCATGTTGAGGAAAAGCCGTACATTCTCACATTTAAGAGCTGGAACCATGAAATGTTTGGCACTACATCGATTATTAAAATAGATGCACATTAATGATCTGGAGATCAGTCAAGATAATCATTGTAGCTCTTAAAATCTTACATGTCCTCTTACGTTTATTTTATGATGAGCCTAAGTGTACAGTGACCTGTGGCCTGGAGCGTGTTCTTAGCTTCACTTTACTATCCCCATTCAATTCTCTCTCTCTCTCTGTATTTCAGTCTCCTGATCAATTGGCTCAGATCGAGCAGGAAGCCATCAGACTCTCTGAGGAAATCAAAGCAGAGTACTGGGCTGTGTCTGCAAAGTCAGGTGAAAGCCAAACACACATCAACAGGAACAAATCACCTATTCCCACATCCAACAGTCAGCACCCTTACATGCTTTTCATTTTCTGTGTAATCTTCTTTTTCTCACTAAACTCTTTCCTCTGTCTTTTTATTGCTCCAGGAGATGGCATCAGGGATTTCTTCTTCCGTGTGGCCTCTCTCACCTTTGAGGCCAACGTTTTGTCTGAGCTTGAGAAAAGTGGCTCCAAGCACGCCGGTGACATCATCAGTAAGTAATAAAGTCTCATTATTTAGATGGCAGTATCATGTAAGCATTTCTTTGATCTAGTGACCAACTTCTGGGTACTACTGTATCATAGCTACTGTCAACAAATCTATGATAAAAACAACTTTTCACACCTCCATAAACTGTCAAGTCCATTTGGTCCCATTGAAGTTGTCAACCTTTTAAAATACGTCACAGATATTCTGTAGTTTATTGCTGAAAATTGTGTTTTACTAAACATTACTCAAACAGAAGTAAATAGTGTGTTTGCATCGAATGACTAAAATCAGGGATTCATTTGGAAAGACAGTCCTTTGTACTGGCCTGGTGTGAACACACGTTTTGACCAATGCAGGTCTCAATTAGACACCTGGTCTGGTTCAGTCATTTAAGCAAATAAAAGCCTGGGCTATTAATTGAAGTTTTACGGTATTGGCGTTCCTCGCAGGGCTCACAGACAGCACAGAAGCCGATCACAAACCGACCAAGAGGAAGTCCAGCTGCTGCTGATGAGAGAGAACCAATGACTGGATACACTGCACCAACTACGCAACAACACACTGAAGGAGAAAACTGAAGTATGATCTCAGCATCTTCATTCATCACGAATAGACCTTGTAAAAGGCGATGTCATGTCAACTTAATGATGTATTTGTGGTGTTCTGCCAATGGCTTGAGAGGAAGTTGTAGGTTTGACGTAATGAATTCTAAGCTGAGGCTGTAAACAAGAAGTCATTTCAGGAAAGTCTAGTGCTGGCCAGGGTTACAACAAATAAAGCTTTGTGATATGTTTGGTAAGCATTTATCAAAAGAGGAAGATTATTCTTTGCTACATCTTTAATTAAACTGCACTTGGTTGATGCTTTCATAAACACCTGTCTGTCTGTAGCAATATTTTTCTCATGTTGTTGGGGAAGCACTAGTTTCCTGTCATGTGTCTGTGCTGCTAATGTGATGCACACGCCGGCTCCCATGACTGCAGTCATACCCATAACGCATCTCTCTCCTCTGACATAAGGGTTCTCACAATCTCACAAATGGAGGGATTGTTTGCAGGGACAGAAACGAGCAGCAAGTATTTATCTGAGGCAAAACGATTTCCTCACTCAGTAAAGTCAGACAGGAGGGAGACATGCTCGACCTTATAAGCCTGCATATTTTCCTTTATCCCCTATTAAACATAGATAACTGTTCTGCTCACTTCTTTTGAAACAGAAGAGCTAGATAGCGTAAAAGGTTGCTAAAATTCCTCAAGTTCTGTTCCCAACTAGTTATATTTCTACCGTGAATAAAACCAACGATGCAAACACACACACACACACTTACATGTACATCACGTGTTCAGAGTGCCAGTGTGTTTCCCAAATCAGCATCAACAAGACGCAGGTTATAATATGAACACTTTTATTAAAGGGATCACAGGTAGAAAAGGTCATCAGCAGTGCCAGAGACATCATTTCTCCTCTATCACCAACTACTGCCGAGATCCAATCACAGCCTCACTGAGAAAGATGCAGTGTGTCTTAATCTGGCAAGAGACGTAAAACCAAGTAAGTTAACTCATAAACCATAATTATTTAAAACAATATGCATATTGTGGGACCATGATACTTTGCACACTGCAAAATGAAGCACACCATTGAATACCAGCGCTGCTTGTTTGTACTGTGGCACAGAGGCACAGCAAAAAAACAAAAACAAACGAAAAATAAACTGAATGCATCCGTCAAGAGGGATGCAGAGTGGCCTAAAACTGCCGCACGACGATCACAAAAGAGATTCAATGTGTTTTTAACAACAATATCTTCATTCTACTGAAATAGCTGCGTGCAGTTCAGAATATTATACAGTTAGGAATATAAACATAGTGGGACGTTAGTTTGATAGTATCTCCTGCTGATAGTGTTACGGTTAGAGAAATTTGAACTCTAAATTTTACTGCTGCAGCTGTGAAACTTGTTCTTGCTTGTTGACATTCAGTGGGAAAAGCGTTACAGTCTGGGACTGAATTGCAGCGAGATCTGAGGAGATAACATCCTACAAGGTGGCAAACATCATAACCCAATGTCACAAGTGAAATGCTCACTGAACTGCAAACATTACAGATACAAGAGATTCAAATTTTAGTTAACTTTAAAAACAGATAACCCTCTGACACTGCCATGGAGGCTTGCTTGACATGAAGAGGTGCTTCCACTTTGAACGTTTGCCTGTTCGATATTGTTACTAAAACAAACTGCTTTAAAATGGGGAGTAACTCCTTCTGCCATGCCTCACATAAATGCAGATGAAATCGTCAAAAACCACCACTGTTACCTCAAATGTGGCACACTGTCAGTGTCCACAGTCTGCTGAGAGGTCAAATAAGAGTCAACAATACATTAGAGGCTTTCTACAGGAGCCAAAACACATAGTCAGCTAGCCATAATACAGCATGTGGTGGAGAAAGACAACTCGCAGAAACTCATGTTTGACAGAAACTCAAGCGAACATGAAGGTTTCTCCTTGAATTAATGTAGCCTTTTTTTTATAATCAGCCGCATTCCTCACACTCAGTGTGTGTGTGTGTGTGTGTGTGTGTGTGTGTGTGTGTCTGTACAGTCACATGTGTTTGCTTTGACAGATGTGAAGAGCGGAGGCTTACGGTTCAAACAGAAAATAAACAAGTCTTTATTCATTCTGACATTCCATACAAAAATTAAATTTCCTGATTGGCTTGGCAAAAGCGATCTTTTGGCACCTGCTCACAAAAATCCACCAACCCATAAAGGAGGAAAAGTGGGTTCTGGGAACTGTAACTGTGCCCTCAACCAGTCATGGATTAAACTATAACCAATCGCAAAAATAAAGACAGTAGACAGCCTGTCTGACATAGTCTGTTTAGGTCCATATCCTATATGTAACTGCTGTCGGATAGTTCAAGTTTTTTTTTTGTCATCGTGCTGACTTCCTGCATGTCATATACAGTGTTTTTCTGACTATACAAAATACTAAGCAGCCAAAGGAGTTGCCTGGAGGTGAGGAGGTGAAACATTTGGGATGAGAAGGGCAGACGGGGAGGGGGACAAGAGGAAGGAAGGAGTTGAGATGCGCCATGATACCAGACCAGAATGATAAACTGCAGCTACAGTATTAGGAGTCTGCAAGATGGAGGGGGCTTCAGCTGTTGGTAAACTGGATGAAAGGGCTGATGGGTTGTGGGAGAGAGTTGAGGGTTTTCCAGATGAAGAGGCAGTACAGAGGATGGAGTTGTGAAGGAAAGGGGGGTGGGGGTGTGGCAACGCCCCCCTACATGTCCTATCGGTCCATTTCGTCCAGCAGGGGTGTGGCGTCTCCGGCGATCGACATGGGCGTGCTCTCTATCATGGGGCTGGGTGACGGTCGTGGCGTCATCCTCTGTGTTTTCTTCCGACCCTCCGCTTCTTTCTCCTTCAGCCATTGCTCCGCCATCTTGCCCCAGTCCACTGCGGAGGCGCTGCTGCCGCTGGCCCTGCAGGGCGGGAGCACAAAGGGGGAGGTGTTTTAGTCAAATACAGTGTAGGAAGGAAAAACAGATTGAATACTGGGCAGCTGAAATGATGCAGATTGTGGGTTTGGCTCCATCTGGTGGTAGAAAAATAATTTAAGACTGACTGATCACCCAAACTGGAATAAACCAGGATGCTTTTTCAGGAAACACATGGTTACAGTCCATCAAGTTGACCACACATATTCCCCCCCTGTACTTACTTTGGCTGCGGCTGCTGCTGCTGCGGCGTCCGTCCTCTGGATGATGTGGAGGACGACGGCGTGCCGGACGAGTGGCCATGGTGGCTGCTGTGATGGCCTTGATGTCCGTGGTGCGACGGGTGGCCTCCGTGTGTGTGGCCGTGTGCGTGAGAGTGTGAGGACTGCGGGGTTGAGCCGGGATACTGCGGTGTGCCCAGGGCCTGCTGGCTCGGTGTGGTGTAGGAGTAGCTGGGCGTCATCAGGGGCGTCGCAATGGGCTGCTGAGGTGTGGCAAATACCTGCAGAGGAGGAAGTACTGGTAATGAATGTAGCTCGCCAAGTTACTTGGGAAAATTCAATATTTGTATACGTATGGCCTCATGAAATCAACCAACTGAAATCACATTCAGTCATCCCTTTTTGCTGTCAAAAATAATGTCTACTATGTATATGTGTCTCACATGATAAGCAGAGGAACTCCCTCCTCCTCCTCCTGAGCTGCCACCGTAGCCGTACTGGCTGGAGCTCCACTGTGCAGGGGTGGTGTTGGGGTTCTGGCCCTGGCCTGTGACTGCAGCGATGGCACTGAACATCTGAGAGGTCATGTTGCGTGGGAGGGCGTTGACAGCGCGCGTCAAGTCTAGGGAGGAAGGCATACAGCAGGGAATCGTAACATGTACTACAACTCCACTCATGCTGAAAATGTAGATTTGTGTGTGTGTGTGTGGCAGAGAGTGGGACTCACCTGCGATGTTGATATTGGCAGGGGTGGCATTCAGGGATGCAGGCGTCCTTGTTCGGCTGCTGTTGCTGGGAGTGATGCCTTTGGCAGGAGAGAAAATGTTCAAGTTGTTGTTCAAGTTGCAATATACACTATGAACAGTGGGTGTAGTGCATCCGTACCTGGCACAGGCTCTTGGTAATGGTCCTTAAACCAACGGAATAGTCCATTCACTGTAGGGAATATCTGTGAACGGTAACGGAAGCCATCCGGGGTGATGGTCACAAACTCAACACTAGAAAAAAATAAAGACAGCACGTAGACATTCAGTTCTACAAATATGTAAACAAACATGCAACAATTACGTTTTAATCCGGCTTTTGCTGAAATCAGTCCAACCTGTTTGCTCCATACTTCCTATCCATAGCATCATTACAGTGAGTGATCAGAAAACAGAGGGGACAAAAACATTCCTGCTCACCGTGGTTTTCCACGAGGTTGGTAGCCCAATATGAATTTTCCTGGCAGATCTTTACATGCCGAAATAAAGTACGGAATAAAAGTGGGCTTTTCCCTCTTTGTCCTGACCAATAACTCCTCCATTTTCTATCAGAGGGGCAAACAAGACAACAGCACATGAGAGGTGCACCTTGTGACAAAAATAGGTATTAGAACAAGATGAGTTGCTGAGTTATGCTTCCCACAGTAAGAATAATATTCAAAAGACCACAGAATACTCAGGACAGTAAATCAGTATGCACCTCCTTGCTTCCCCCGTTGCACTCCTGGAAGTACTTATGCCCCAGCAGATCTCGGGCAAATGACGCCATTGGCTGAATGTACCGAGCAGTGATTTCATCCAGATCTTCAAACTCCTGCAGAGAATGTAAGAGACTCTTTAAGAACATGTAGCAGCCACAGCAACACTGATTTCAATTTACTGCATGCTTGATTATGAATTACGATGCTGAACAAAGAGGAAGAAAAAAAAAAAAAACATACTTCATTATTGATCCAAAGAGTGTGCCCTAAGCTGAATGCGTTCTCTTTGCCCTCTTCTCTCACATCCACGTGCTGGTAGATACCATCAGCCACCTACAAAGCATCATAGAGTCAAGACTGGAACATGCATCAAACAAAGTCTTTACATTTCATTATTGACTTATCTTCTTACAAGTGATTTGATTTGCTTTAAATATTTACTCACATCAGTACTCAGTGTCGTGTGCTTCTGCCAAGTTGCTCAAATTCCACGACACCACAAAGTCCCACCCCCTCACCTGTGCATTAAGTTAATATCTTATCTGTATCTTAGCTGTATCCCTGCATCTGTTTCTTACTTTCCAGGTGACTGTGAGGTGGTTCTCTCCCTTGCTGCTGGGTCTGATGATCAAGTCTCCCTGGTCCAGGGTCTCCATCATCTTCTCTGCCTGGTTGAAACTGATATTGTGGAAGTTGGGATGGGCGATCACACGCTTTATATATGCTGGAGAGACAGAGAGAGTGTAAAGAACAGGCAGTATATAAAAAAAGGGAAATTTTCCCAACAGCAGCACAGTGCACTCTTTTATTAGCAAATTCAATTCATTAATCCAGTTATTATACTAACGTGTTCGCTGTTGTTTCTTTTTGAGCTCTTCCTCTAGTTTTTGATCTTCGGACTCTGTGTCAAAGTCATAGTAGCTGTCCTTGGGGAGCTTCCACTCATTGGCCTTGTCCATCAAATCTGAGGTGCGGCACGTGAGATCGACGCTGAATTTCTCAATGTCAATTTTCATGATGCGGCAGTGAACGGTCATGCCCACCTGGAGGAGGATGGGGAAGAGGAACAATTAAGTATGATTAAACAGGTGTCACAGTAGAAGGAAACAAGACAGGAAGGACGGAAATAGGCAATAATTAATCATCGATCGATCAGGACTGGGTAGTGGAACTGGCACCAACTGGAAACTCTCAGAAACATTTTTGCAGGTGAGATTAACAAAAGAAAGAGATAAATAAAAAGATGAAAGTAGCAAGGCACAACATCCAATAAGGGATAACAACAACAATCAGTGCCTCACCTTGACCCTCTCTTCAGGGTGTTTGACCACTTTGTCACTGAGAAACTTGGTGGGAATGAATCCCTGGACGCCGTTATCCAATCTGGACCGCACCCCAATGGCCTGACCTGGACAAGAACCGCTGTCAAAGTGGTTCCACACCTGAAGCAGGGATACAAAACAGAACAAAACAAAAACAGATCAGACTCTCAGCTGTTCCAGTATCAAGTTATCAAAAGTAGAAACCTCAGGTGTCTGGTACCTCGCTGAGTTCAGGAAAGTTGTCCTGCTGGCAGAAGGGACACTGCCATAGCCCTGTAGCATCATTACGGATGGCCTGGTCGTAGCTCTCTCCTTGAGGCCTCCGGTGAGCAATACCAGTCACTACACTGGTGATCAGCTTACCTGGAAGAAACGGAGGGAAAATCATCAACCACACCCGACTACGGAGCTGCATTTCTACTGTGACTGGTCCAAATGTCACGTTGATCAAGTCATGCGCTATAATTACTGCAACAACGTCTTGAGGGCTGATGGTTAGGAATTAACTTTATATTGTTGATCTTTGGCGAAGTTTAATTCAAGAGACAAATGTGCGTACTTTAGAGCAGTGTGTATTACCAATATAAAAGGTCTCTGGAGTCTCCTTGGTGAGCAGGTTGAAGACTTCCTCTGTGTTGGGGACTCTGTAGACAACTCTCAGGTCTTTGTATCTGCAGCTCAGCTCTGCACGGATATCGTACAGAGTAATCCCCTTGTTGCCGTAACCCTACAGGGACGAAAAAGAAAAAAAGAAAATTGTTTTCTTTTTTACAAACCCAACAATTAATTGATTAATGGAGAATATAATCAGCACGTTAAGCCATAATGAAAATAATAATTAGTTGCAGCCGGATAGAAAATACTACAAAATAAGTGGGGTGGTTGGGCTTTTTTCTGCTTTGATTATTTTTACTTTTCATACTTTAAGTACATTTTCCTGATTATACTTAAAGTTTTAAATAAGTAACATTTCCAATGTAGGGCTTTTACTTGTAATAGAGTATTTTTACAGTGTGGATTTGAGTACTTCCTCCACCTAAGTCCATCTCTATCTATCAAGGTAAACAGACACTTAATAATTATATAAAGGCTTATTACGTTTTCTAACAAGTTAGGTTTGCACAGCCACAGCCTAACTCTGTTGTCTTACCAGCTGAGCCTCCCTCTTTTAGGAAGCTGGCCTTGTGGGTAACCTGTGTGTGTGAAATAGACTACCAGGTCTGTTGTGGGAAGCAAGCAAGTACCAGCACGTTGCTGTAGTCACAGGAAAGAGTACGTTCTAATGGGTAGTTAAGTTATTATATTATACTATAGTCTGCCGTAGTAGTGAGCGTAGTTATTTACTTGCATTTGCCGTTTTAATTGTGCTCCCTGTTTGCACTGTATCTTTTTTTTCAAGCTGTTCAGAAACAGTGCGTTGGCAACAGAATGCATGAGACATTGCTACGGTTAAAGCCACAACCACACACTAACCTGTCTCTCAAGCTCCTCAGCAAAGGCATCCAAGTCCAGGTCTTTGAGACGTTCTGGATTTTCCAAGATCTCCTCCAGAGCTCCGGCTGGGTTGGCGTCTTCTGCCGACTCATCATACTCGAGGGCGTCCACGGCCATTTTGCGAGCCCACTCGTATGTCTCAGGGTGGACACGAGACCCATCCAGAACCTCGATGTAGGAGTCCGTACTGTGTGGAAAAAACAACGCAGATTCAAACAAGATAAATGGTAGATCACAGCCTCGTCTGACATTGATAAATTTAGCACTATGGGAAACATGGTCTGGATCGTCTTAGCGTGTAACAGACCCCCCCCCCATAGGGCACCAACCTGTCTCCAAGCGATGCGGTGTCAATCTTGATGAAACCGGCACAGTTTATAAAGACCTTGGGTCCCATGTGACACATTGTGACCAGCTGGGTTCTGTTTTCCAGACGAGTGTTGTTCTGCTTCAGAATCTGCACAAATACAAGGAGTGCGGCGTTAGCAGGTCAACAGAGGAGGCGATATACTATCAGATATTACACAAGAAATGAATGACAGCAGCACAAACGCATACCTTCAGCAGGTGGGAGCCCTTCCTTGGACCCAGACCGCAGACATACTGGACCAGGCTCTGAGTGTGAGGATGGGCAATGGCTTTGTTCACATCTACTCCAACCTCATTGACACGGTTGATGAATTCACAGTAAAGAGCACTGAGCAAATCCTCCTTCACCACATGTTCCTGAGGGGGGGGGGGGGGGGGGCAGAATAAGAGTTGGATAAACAAGTCACAAACTGTTTATCCCACTACCATATGTCCAAAAAGCAAATAAAAAATAAACAAAGCAAAAAATCGGACGCCCCAAACATCATTACACTACATGATGTCACAGAAAATGCTGTAAATCTGGCTATGATGATAAGAAATCATGCTTCAATATACATCATACAGCAATAAATGGAGATAAAACCACACAAATCCACCAATTTTTCAATCTCTCACCTGTAGCGGGTGTAGTTTGAGGCAAAGAATATCGTCATCTGAGCTGCAAACCTGTGCATACTCTATCAGGGGATCCTGGATCTTCCTGGCAATCGACACGGCCTGTCGCAGCAAGGGAGGGTAATCTCTGAAATCAACCTGCACAGAGAGAAAGCAGAGGGTCAGGGGAACATGACCTGCAAAAGGGAAAACTGGGCCACCTCTTGCATCCACCAGTTAGTGAACTTGCTGTGGTTGACTGCTGTAGTTGTGTCTGCCTGTGTATGGTATGGATGGTATGGTGAGTAGGGATGCAGCGATTACTGGATTTCACTATTAACCGCGGTTTAAAACGTCACGGTTAATAGTGACGTCACGCTTAATTAATCGTAAAGGCGCTTTACGAGTTGCAACTTGCACAAAATGAAAAAACAAGTAACACGAGCACCAGCTTAAAGTGCTGTGCTAATCAATGCTCCGTATTTGTATAGCGCCTTTCTAGTCTTTTCGACCACTCAAAGCGCTTTTACGCTACATCTGCATTCACACACATTCATTCACTGAGCCTAAGTGCTCAAATAGAAACTAACATTCACACTCATTCATACACTGGTGGAACAGCCACCAGAATTCGGGGTTCACAAGGACACTTCGACATGCAGCCTGGAGGAGCTACTTCAGAGACATGGAGGCTAATAGTGTACACTGGCTTAACTATGCCAGAGGGACCAAACTGTAAAGGTTTATTTCCACCAAAGAAATGGCTGTAGTCTGTAGTACGGGAGAATTTCAGGTACACCAAGACCAGGGCGTTATTTAAGAGGTGACGGATCACCTGTTCAAAAACTTGCAGTTAAAAGGTTGCTGCTAAACGAGTGAATATCTACATCAAATTTGGTTCAGCACATGCGGGATCAGCACCCAGCTTTGCATGCCTAAGTAAAGGTAATAATAACAGAGTTAAATAACGTGGCAAGTTGGTAGGGAATTAAATATAAACGTGTCACTTACAATCGATGCCGTAGCACTGAGAATTGGGCTTTCAGTGCAACGTAAACAAAAACAGCAGCATGTAACTTTACAGACCCGCCGCAACAACAGCACTGCTGTGCTATGAGGCTCATTATTTTCAATGGCTTGTGCCACGCCACGGCGGTTTGTTCCTGCGTCAAGCAACACGTATCACATCGTTTGGCGAGCTTGTGCGCATGCCGCTGTCAAAGTAGTTGAACTTTTGTAGTTGAGCTTCCAGTGCAGCGCAAATTGCTTCTTTTTTGAAAGAGCCTATATGGAAGACAGAACGTAGTCCTCTCCAGACCTTCAGTCATTGAACATTTAACGTTACATCCTGTTGCCTCCTCCTGTCTGTGTTGATAAAATATTAGGCTTTGTGTGTTAATATCCCAGGTGTAAAACACTAACATAACATCAGGAGCTAGACTTCCAGGACTACCAATTACCTGCATTTCAATTATTTATAACACTGCATGAGAGATGTTCTCAATTTCTCAGTCATTTTCACGTATGGATGAGAGTTGATGACCGTTTAGTTTATTCCCCTCCTTAATTATCCCTCAGGGGGAATTGTTAAGTTAATATTCGTCTTATATTATTATTATTAATAATAATAATAATAATAATAATAATAATAATAATACTTAAATATTATAGACATATAATTGTTAATGTAATTAAATATTAAAAATCAACTTAAGTAATTAAGTAAATAGGTGTTGTTAAATTAATTAATGCATAATAATCGTGAAACCGTGATTATTTCTCTGACTATAATCGTACCAACAAAATCTGTAATTGTTGCATCCATAATAATAAGGTGTTAATAGTTTACCTCAGACTTCTTGCTGTTCATGTACAGTGTGGCCAATTCATTGTCAATGAGTTCCACTCCAACAGCGGGCAAAGAGGACTCCTGCTCAAGCTCACTGATAGTCCTCTTGATGTCCTCCATTATCATTTGGGCATCTCTGTGTACAAGGCATGTTTTTAACATTTCAACCTCAACTACATTATAACTTGTGAATGCCACTCAACATGTCTACCAGTTTTCTAGCACATAAAGAAATAAATCCATTATTTACCGGTTTTCCCCGGCGACAGCTACCACATGAGGTTTCTTGCTGGACAGAAACTTCTTGAGATTTTCAATGTCGTGTGCCTGAAGATGACACGCACAAATAAGTATCACCTCAAAGATGCGTCAAGTAGCATGTTTTCCTAAAACAGAAAAGCATCTGTTGACTGCACAGAAGAGAATTAATGTTCTCTGTATGTACCTTCTTCTCTCTCTCATCCTCCCTAAAGGCATTCCTCCTCTTCATGAAGTAGGGCAGACGCAAGAAGTCTACCACCTCTCCTTCCCCGTTGATCAGAGCACAGAAAACCGGTGTGTCTCTGTTACAGCAAAGTTTGTAAACTTTATTGTTACATAAGCGTGTCATTTATGCAGCAAACATTGCTTGGTCTTATATGGTTGCCATTCAAACATGCAGTATATCTACCACATTTAAAAGTTTATAGTTACGACTCAATATATCTGAGGGGGAAAAAATAATACTGTGGGGCACATACCTGCTGGGGGCATAGGCTACACCCAGCACCCGAATGCCTTTGCTTTGACTCTCATCCATCAGATCATCGTCTTCCTCAACCTGCTGATCTGGCCTATAAGGAGCCACCTTAAGCCAGTTATACAACCGACGACAGCAGGACTACGAGAAGAAGCAGAGTCCATAATAACTTAAAACACTAATCAAACATACACTGACGGTTTACAGATTTTGTGAATATGTTGCTCAATAATTTTACAACTGCAGTGTGCAAGGAGTTTGCTGTGCGCAACACAGACAAAATTATGTAATATAAAAATAAATGGAGACAGATAACATGACAAATTACCCTGACAATGCTCTCTTTGGCCTCAGCGATCAGTTTGCTCTTAAGCTCCTTGGCCATCTGCGGGTACAGGAACTGATTCAGAGCTCTTTCTATGGCTAAAGTTCGCTGCCTGTTCCACTCTTGCACCTGGTGACTGAACTCATCCCTGTAGTAGAACTGTTTGATCTCATCAAAGTATGTCTGGTCCCCGGCATATCTGAGGAGAGGCAGAGGAAAGACACAGAGAGAAGCGGAGACAGAGAGGAGTAAGTGACAGTGAAGTGGATAAAAACAAAAGCTGCATGTTAAAGTTCCAAGAAATTAAACTCAGGGGACCTATCCTACTTATCAACCCTCCTATCCTCCAACATCTGAGCAAGGTTTCTTTACTTATGCTAAAAATGGTTCATCACATTAGAACCTGTGCCACGGCAAAGATACGAGAATGAACAACAAAACTGACAGGAATCATAAGACCTCGGTGTGTTTGTGTATTTATGATTTGCCTCATCCAGTTGATCAAAACTGACATGACGTGTTTCCAATACATTAATTTATTTGTTGCGGACCGCCACAACATCAACAATAACCGCCACATATCAATTTTCCTTTTTACTATTTAAAATGGGTAAAATCTTATTTCTTTGTAGAAAGAGAAGCAGCACATCGATTCGCTCCACCCCTCCGCTCTCAGACAGACTAGTCTGCGAATAGCCCCACCTCTCCGTGCACACTGAGCTGGGCTGGTGAGGTTAACACACTGCACATAGTTGCTAGTCAATATCGACTGCTTGTGGATGTGGATAACATTAATGTAAATTCTTCCTCAATCCAGATGCTTACTGGAAAATATTTTCAAAGACACCAAAGGGCTCATCCTGAGGTGGCGCAAAGACAGTCTGGACCAGAGGTATTAGCAAAACCCTGCACGTATAAACTTCCACGACGAATATAATCAAATTCTGTGGGAAACACTGCTTGATGTACGCGTTACTGTCCTCAGTCTGTCTGTAACCATGAATTAACATACGATAGGAATTTGCAATTCAGTTTATTAGAAACTAGTGTGAGTGAATTTTATGTTTAGGAACCAATAAGAAATTAAATAGAAATTTCTTAACGATTCCTTTGGAATCTGTATTTTGTAACCAGTTCTTCATGCCAAACCCTTTTATTGTCTCTGTACTTACCCTTTCACCCCTATAAGGTCTATACAGATGTCAATGGTAAGGAGTCCCTCGTCCTCTGCCAGGCACATCTTCAAGAACTGCTCCCCATTCAACTCTTTTACTGGCTTGTTCTTAAGATACTTGAAGGAGTAGGCGAAATGAGCCTCGTCTATCTCCTGCAGGAAGTAAACAGATGGCAGGTTGAGAATGGCACTTAAGTTCAGAAAGCTTTCTGCTTAGGACTGCACATCTGTGATTAAATGTGTCCTTACCTTTTTGCCCTTCTTTGTAGGCTTGATGTTGATCTTGGCCCTCTCCTGAAAGGTCTGCCGGAGAACATGTCTGACCAGAGGTTCACGAGCAATTTGCATGGCCACCATGTACCTTGTTCCCTCCAGCACTGCCTCGGGAGTGGCAAACTGACTGCAAACATAGTCTTTGGCCAGCTCTATGGGCTCGGCAGGGAACTGCTCCGTCTCGTGACGCTGGTAACTGTCTCTCAGATTTTCTCCAAACTGCTCTGGAGTTAACCCAAACTTTTTAGCCAAGCCATCTGTAGTATGGAAGAAACACAAAAAAAAGATGAAGTGCTACCACGGTAGAAAAAAAAGATCATTTGAACACTGCGATTGTGTTGTGCAAAGTAAAAAACGGGACTAACCAAGTCCAACGCTCTGGCAGATACTGTACATATCTCTGCGAGACGCCAGCTTGAGGTCAGGACCTTTCTGTTCTTCTTCTTCTTGTTCTACCTCCAATTCCTCTTCTTCACCTTAAGAAGCAGCCCATCAAAATCAGTCATGTAGCAAATAGTTGAAAGAAGGCAAACACTCCTAACTCAAAAAATTGTTTTAGTTAGAACTGAATACTTCTGCAGTATCATCACCTAACAAAATCATCTTACCATCCTCTGACACTTCTTTGATCTTTTTCAGCCTCTTCTTGTTGTTTTTTGCGGCATTCTGCATTTTGGGGATGTCTCGGCCATAGTAGAGCAAGAAGTGATTGTACACGTCACCCAGCTCTTCAAGGGTCTGCACATCTTTCAGCCTACAGAAAGGGAGGTTTGAATGGGAGGGAAAAGAGCAGTGAGAATAGGTGAATAGCATTGTTTATTATCACCATGTGAGCCTACACTTATTCCTTGTTGGTACAGTCACAACCACAATACATAAGGGATGATCTTAGCCAGCCTCAGCCCTCTAGTGTTACGGGGACGTACCTCTCCATGTCAGCGGTGTCCAGAGGACGGATGCCGTCAGCCAAAGGTTTGTCAGGGTCAGCTGAGATCTGCTCAAACTGGTAGGACTGCATCTTCTGAAACAGACGGGTCAGGTTCTGCTTCCGGGTCTTTAGCTGAGTCCACTGGTGGGCGGAGGGTAAGATTTATAAGTAAAGAAACCAGAAGTGGCTTACGAATACCAAGTTGATGAAATTAAAAGATCGATAATCATTTAAAACAAATTTTAATTCATTGAAGAAGTGATTTATTACAGGATTGGCTGTGCACCCAGAGGATTCCCCCTGACATACTGTCTTCAACAACTGGGTTTCTGCCCGTCTGTTATCTATTCCTTCAGAGAAAAGAACAATATCAACACTACCTTTTCATCCCACTGCCACACCTTCCACAGGTCATTGATGTTTAGCTCTGGCTCGACATATTCTTTCCTGTAGAAAGCTATGAATGGAACCTGAAAAAAAATAAATAAATAAAAAGATAAAATAGGGATTCACCGAAATGAAAATTCTTGGCCCAAACCGAATATAATGAAAAAACTTGCCAAATCGCTCTGGTCCGTTTCAGTGGATTTACCATACAGGCTTGAATACGTGTGCACTCCAAATTTAGGTGCGGCTAGCTTAATCGCCTTCTCAGAAACAAGTGACAGAAACACTCAAAGCGGGTCAGACCGTTTGTTGCCTTTTCTAAGAATTCAGCCACAGATGGAGTGGATGTGCTGGGAGACAATTCAGCAGAACAGTGTCTGCAAACGGCGATTTTTGAGTCTTTCTGGGACACTTTAAAATGCTTCCGCACTGCCGACGTGCCAACTTAATTGTTCGGTAAAACTTATTCGTTCTTTTGACGTATTAGGCCGAACACTGAAAGTGCTTTTTTTTGCTATTTTTGGCCGATTACTTTCGGTAGCCGAACATTTGTTGCATCCCTAGTTTAAGACAATATCACGTTTTGCATTCCTTCTTAAAGACATAATGTGGATTTAGAGAAGATTAACCTCAAACAAAGGAAACTGATGAAGGAAATGCTCTCAGTACCTCAAACTGTTGATTCCTCATGAAATTGAGGGCCTCTTTGATCTTCGCAATTGTGCTGGGGCCTTTTCTGCTGAAGTTTGTGGTCGTCCCCCTGTCTAGATAATCTGTGCTCTCCTGTTTAAGAATAGAAAAAAACAAACAAGGGACAGATGTAAGGAAAATCTAATCATTTATCCCTCAAAAGTTTATTACCGGTTATTATGACAGAAAAGCCAAGAAAGTACTTTGCATTCTTTGTGTGTGCATTTTGCCTTGAGTGTTTCTGGAAAAGGTCGCACCTGCATGGAGATAGTAAGAGTAGAGAAGCCATGTCTGAAGATCCATTCTGCTTCCTCTTCAAGCTCATCATCCTCAGCAGGTTTAACAGGGATGGACCGTAACTATAAATCGTAAATAAATAAATTTGAATCGTAACGCCAAACACAGAATAAATAAGCTTTCAAGGGTTAATAACTGACTAATTCATAAACCTGTCCCCTTCCTTTATCAGTATTCACTGAACACGGACAAATTATGAAGCTATATGGTGTGGGAAAAAAATGTAACAACAGTGCATAAACACTGACAAAAACACACACACACCTGGAACCTCTCAGGCATGTCAGTCGTGCGGATCTCATTGTCTTGGTCAGTCATGTGACTACTTTCCAGCTCACTGGGCTCGTAGATCTCAAAGATGCTCTTCCTCCCTTGCCTCCTCTTGGTCTGTTTCTTGGGTCGGTCCCAGCCCTCTTCATCCTGGTCCTCTTCCTCCTCCTCACCCTGATCGTAAGCGTCTGCGTCAAAGTCGGCAAAGTCGAAGTCGCCACCAAAGATTTCTTGGGCCTCCTGGAGGGCTCTGTGGGAGGATGAACAGAGAAGAGAAGAAACTGTGGAGATGTGTTTCACTTCACTCATGTCTTAACGCAGCTTGCCTTTTTGTGTTTATTGTCTTGTTGTTTCTTAATATAGAACAATATTTTTAATTTGGTTAAATAAGGTGATATTAGATTATTTAATAGCAAGGAAATTTGAGCTAAACTAGTCTTTTTGCTCTACATATGACACATTTTTGAAAGGATAGATACCGCTATATTTGCTGTATAGACACTCACGCATCTGTGTATCCTGAGAACTTCTTGCCCCTCTTTTTGGTGATGGGTTGCCCATCATCATCCACAATAAAATCGTCTATATCTGTGGGACAAAAGAAAGAATTTAAACTTGAAATCAAGTATGGAAGTAAGGTTAAAATCACTGGAAACGCCTTTGAGTATTTTCAACCAAGTCCAGTTCCCCTTAATTTTAACCAACCTTGACAAACTATGACCTGGAGAACAGAATGTTCACAGACATTACTATTATTTTTTTCCTTTTATTTTGATTCATTTTTCAATATTCCAAGACCAATAAAAATCCCTTATTCCTGGCCTACCTGACTCCTCGTCCTCCCCTTCTTCGTCGTCATCTGCGTGTTGGAGAGGCTCATCGACAGCCTCGCCATCCTCCAGATCGCCCTCTGCATCACCGTGAAAAATCTCATCTGCAATCAAATCCTTCTCGTCGTCATCTTCTTCGTCGTCATCAAGTGTTTTTACACGGTCATATTTCTTCTTCTGTAACACAAGACAGGTACAGCATCAGCACTGCTAGCTTAAACTTTGTGTGTAGTGTGCAAAAATGAAAATGTGGGAAGTCAGACATAATGTGAGAGGCAGAAGGTACAATTGTACACTGTTTGGACCTGTGTCCACCAGAGCGTTTTTTGCCAGCTGAAAACGCCACCTGCTCTTCTGAAAACGGCTAGCAGGGAGCGCTAGGGTGCATTTTGGAGGCGCAGTGTTTTTTTGCTGTGGTTGCTATGATACATCATTTCTGTGGAGGTAATGTGCTGCAAGTAGCCTACTAAGGCTAATTTTACTGAATGTAAAAATGTCACCACAAAGTATGTAGGCCTACTTGCTCTGGCCCTTGCTCTGCGTGAAGAGAAGGCACAGACTGTCCGTACGCGGGTTCATGAGATTTTGGGGGGCCTTACTACAGAGAAAATAGTGATGATTAATGATTCCTACCCTCCTTTTCACTTTAACACCCAAGTTTTCTTCAATTAGGTCAAGATCATCATCATCCAGGTAGTCATCATGCCCTGCAAAGAGGAAAAGTCAGAGGAAACAACTTCGAGACACATTGCATTTCTTGTAGTGGGAAAACAGTCCTTTTGTTCCTCAAGTGTTAGACATTTGTTTAGGAAATTAAATGTTGAGGTATAAAATTTTAATTTGGCACCTTTATACCACAATGACTCGGGATCCATATTTTCAGTCTAAATAGTTGCTGCAGGCAATTAATTATGTACTGGGTTCAATGCAGGTATATGAGAAAGCATAAATATGAAGGAAGATTATACACCAACACAGAACTAACATCAAGCAGTACCCACCCAGGTTAATGCAACCAATATGTGGGCACATCTGGCTCCACAACATATGAAGCTGAATGCAGGGGAATTTAAAAAAAGAAAAGAAAGAGGCAACCTGTTGTTTTACCTGCCCAAGAGAAGCTAAACATATGTTTAATGTCTACTCTAATTATTCAGAAATATACTTCTGCCCCCCTTTAAAATCTTCCTTCCAGCACAGTGCTGTACAAAGGAAAGGAAGATTTTAAAAGGAGACAATTCACAGTGCATGTACTGCTTTTGCAACGCATTTACTGTAAATTGGCCACATAAATAACTGTACATACATTTAAATTGTTAAATGTGCTTAAATCGTACAACACAGAACTCAGAAAAATTAAAACTTATAACATGGAATTTGGGTAGAACTTAAAAAGAATAAGGATTTTTATAAACTGATTTCATAGGGCCCTAGTCATCTGCTGCAAACACTACCTCTTTTATGTGAACATGCCCATGGCTGGATTGGGAAAACGTGGGTTGCTGGCCAGATCGCTGTCAGCATTGCTCTTGGTGTTAATTAAAATTGGGAACTGGGAAACTGGGAAATTCCGACCTCCAACTTAGAATGGAACGCAGTTTGTTTTCTTTTTACTGTGACCAAGATATCAACTAAGCAGGACATTTTACTGTTGAAAGATCAACTTGTCAGCGCTCTTTGTAACTGTGACACTTCTTTCTAATTTACTTCAAACCTAGTTTGGCATTTTCAATACTGCAGTTTGTTTTATCAGTTACTTTTCATCCGACACAGACAGATGCCGATATATCTCAATTAAGCTACTATCGGCCGACCTATATCGACCCGGTCCATTTATCGGTCTTCTTTACTGCAAATGCAAGTACCTCGAAAAAACTTCTGAAAGTCAAGTTTTTCTACATTTACATGTATTTAGCTGACGCTTTTATCCAAAGCAACTTACAATTGCTATTTATGTAAATGTAAATTTAGGTATGTCAGAGGTCACACGCCTCTGGAGCAACTAGGGGTCTTGCTCAGGGATACATTGGTGGATGGCTCACAGTGGGAATTGAACCCTTGTCTCCCACATCAAAGGCAAGCATCTTATCTATGCGCCATCACCACTCCATCTATATATCAGTTTTCCACACTCATCATCTTCCACTCTATTGACAAACCAGGTAACATGAACATGTTTTAATGAGGTAATACAGCACAGATACTGTAAACCAAACAACTAAAACATTCAGCAATAGCAGAGTATTGAGATTGCAACAACAGTTAATGTGTAGTTGTTGTTTCAGCTTTCTATTATAGATACAAGTAAGACAGACATTTTACAAAACACAATTTACAAATATTGCTCATTGTTGCACGCAACAGAACACTCAGAGACAATTATCAGTTCTTAGGATTTCTTTTTTTGTCAGGGGCTTATGGGAATGTGGAGAATGTGCATGGAAATAGGCTAAAACAGCAAGGAATGTATAAGAAATCCAGCACAGCCTCCCCATCTGTGACTTCTTTAAATGTATCACAACCTACAACACACTGTATAACGGCTACAACAGTTTTAAGACACCTGATGAACTTACTGCGCTTTTTACGTCTATGCCTCACTTCCTCCTCTGAGTCACTCCCCCCTCCACTCGGACTCCCTTGAGCTCCTTCCTCCTCCTCCCCCTCCTCCTCGTCTCCATCATCAATGAGTCCGCGTAAATTTCCTTGTTCATCCTGGTCCTCTGTGTTCTCTTCTTCCTCTTCATCTGTTGAGAAGAGACAGATAAGTGGTCCACACGTCATACAAGCCCACCTCTGAAACACATCCTCAGAACTAAACAACTCAAATCTCACCGTCTTCCTCCATAAACCTCTGGGCCTTTTTAGGCTTCAGGTCTTTCTCTTCAAACTCCTCCTCTGACTCCTCAGCCTCGCTATCAATGAAGTCGGACATGACGGCTGATCCTGAGAAAAATTTCAGGAGGCTGTTAGTAAACTTTCTCAACATTATCCAAGCATTACTTTGTTCTTCCGAGGCTAGTCACAAATATAAAAGCCACACAAAAAAAAAACATATATTATGTTCTGCTGTAATTGAAATTTCACCCCTTAACATTGAGCTAAACAAACACTGAGCTAAACAAACACCCAGTTTAAGCAGCTTTAGGGTAAAAATATGTTATTTCACATTATCTGCCATCATTACATGCATATTCTTCATTAGCTTGTTTGGGCTGAAATGTATGAACATTTGACGAATAGTCAGCCTGACCTATTTGGTATCTTTGCAAACTTCAGGATCTCCTCAAGGGTTTAAAATAAAGTTCTGTGGGTTCAAGCAATGTTTGGCTGCAAACAAAACATGACTTCTTATTGACTCTAGTGCCAGCATCTCTGATTATGTGTACAATATTTACTCAGTATGTGATCAGTTTTCCAATTATTTGATAATGATATTTAAAGGTAAACATATGAAAAGGCCTGGAAGTACACATGAAACCAATGCTTTCTGGTCACACTTTTTTTAAACGTGTACTGAATCATTTACAAACAACCAATGAAATAATAATTAACAATAATGTAGGTTCATCTCTGGATTTGACATTGTGATGTTCACATTATACCAGAGTGCTATAAAATCAGAAAGTTAGAACAAAACTAGATTTAGCTGGTCATTAAAAAAAAAAAAATCCCTACACCTAACGATGTCGCATTGCGCACACACAACATCGACAGAGATAACCAACCAAACACGTTTTTTGCTTTCAATCTAATTGTAGCTAAAGTTATCCTGATTATATCTTTAAGTTATCTGATGAGCGGTCGTTTGACAAACGTTAACGGTTATGTTGGATTTGCTAGTAAATAAGGCTGGCTAACGTTAACTTACTATCACAGCGAGCTATCAACCACCTATTAGGCTAAGTAGGCGATGCTCGCTAGCTAGCGAGAAGCCTTTTCCAAGTAGCTGGTATCTGAACTAACGTAACACTGTGCGTCACAACACATTAGCCGACAATAAGAAGAGACAACGGAACCAAATGAACAGTTGTAGAAATAAACCAAGGCCTTTGAGCCAGCTTGAAATTCTAACGGTAACGTTAATGCTTTAGCAAATCAGTACGTTAGCCTAGCATTAGCTGGATCGACAACAACAGCCAACTGCAGTCACGTTAAACAGTTAACGGCGGCACAATGTAAAGATCGCAAATGACCACGGTGAAATTGGACTTACACGTCTCACTGCGGCTGTATTCCGTAAATATTTACAATAATAGCGGGATTGTGTTGTGTTTTGTGTGTCGGGGAGCTTGTACTTCTAAAAAACAAATGGCCGACAACGAGTGGTAGCATGAAGACAATTCCGGGATGCAGTGAGGGAACTTCCATGCATTTCAGTAGCAAGGTGACGCCCCCTGCTGGTTTTCTTTGATTTTATACAAAAATGAAACCACAGCATGAGACACACAATATAACTGCTGCTCTGGGGGTATTAGATTATTACAAATATATAAATATCTCACAGCGACGCCAAATAAACCCAATATTAACCGAAAACCAAGTAAGAGCCGTGCAGTGACCATTCCGGGCCGCCAGGGGTGCTGTTTCCTGAGCTTCATCTCGGTGGACTGTACCGTTTTAATGACGTAGCGAAAAATTATACAAATCACTGAGAGGCATCAGGGGCTTCTCGGGCTTTAGTAGGAATGGGTAACTTAAACTGTGCTGATCTTTCACACGCCCTACCAACGCTTTTATTTTTGTTATCCTGCATATTTGGGCTGTCCCTCGGTACGGAACTGAGTTATGTGACATGCGGATCGGCCATTAAACTGATAAATATTAAGCACAATGTGAGACTACACTCGCACGACGTACGCTACGGATCCGGTGAGTTTCCTCTCATTTCAGGATTATTAAGCATTACTAAACAGTTACATAGTGTTATTTTTACTAACATTGACTTAAACTACCATTAATCACATCTGTGATTAAATGCTTTAATATTGTTTGATGAAAATGAGAAAATACATATCTTTATAAACGTTAACAGTATCAGTCTGACATGATTCATGTTGATTCCATTATGTGTATAATTAAACAAAAGATTGGGGACATGTGATCTCTTTTTAGGTGATATTAACAAAGCAAATATTGACTCAAGTGATGACAGTATATGAAAACATTTGGATTTGTCCTAGAAAAGCCCACCCCCTTCTCTTTGAATCAGCCTAACGTTAGTCATTCACAGAGAAATGTCAAACATGAATCCTTTCTGCAAATATATTCACTGTCCACCACAGCGTTCACTAAACGTTTCTGGTTTAATTTACTTTAAACCTGCTCTGGAAAGGTGGTCTTTTGAGATAATCATGTGCTCTGTTGTTAGAAATATGTTGTACCACACAGAGTTGTAGTTGTATGGCTCTAGCCTTTAAAGTTAAGCTGAGCTGTTGGTTTGCCAACATGAGCGGTTGGGTTCAAAGTCAAACCCAACAAACATTAATGCAACATTGTAAGTGTTTTCACAGACCTTGATACCATGAATCAGAATCAGAAGGAGCTTTATTGCCAAGTAGTGTTTTACACACACGAGGAATTTGCTGTGGTAACAGATTGAACAGATGAACAGATTGAGTGATCAAAAGAAGAGAACTGGCTGACAGCCTTAAACAGCTTTAATCAATAAAATTGTCTTTTTATAGCCAAAATCCAAGTTTGGTTGTTCACTCTTCCCACGTTTTCTGCTCACTGTCTGTGTCAATGTGTGTGAGACAGGGAGCGGGCAGCAGTCTGTAACAGGGGTGACTGCAGTGGAAGATAGTAACAGCTACTGGAGTGTTCGAGGGGCAAGTGACGCCTTGTGCCATCGGGGTACCCCGGTCAAGTGCGGGCAGACGATCCGCCTCACCCATGTCAACACAGGCCGTAACCTTCACAGCCACTACTTCACCTCCCCACTGTCCTCTAATCAGGTGGGTGGTGTGTGTGAAGTACATGTGGGAAGAGGAAAGATTTTGGTGTTATGTGAAGAATTATCCTCCCTGCAGAGATCAGGAGAGGATGTTATTGTCAAAAGTGATTCCCAGCTTGATTCAAAAAAGCTGATTTAGAGAATGTTTTGAAATAATAATAATAATAATAATAATACAATAATTCACTACTCTCCTGCCAAGTTAAAGCCACTGAGAGATGAATTGCAAGTAACATTACTAACATGTAGTCAGAGATTTAAAATACTAAGAGGCTGCCTTGCGCATTTAGTGATACCTAGACCAACATTTTGAGGTGTACCTGAGTTGACAGCAGCTTTTGCACTTCAGGAAACTTACCAAACTCTGTAAGAAAAAACAGCCTCAGGCCAGAAAAAAATCTTGAGACAGTGTGAAAACACTGTCTAACCAAAGTGTTAAAGGGCTGGAAGATGTGTACCGCAAGATGACAGAAACTGTCAGACATTTTTATATTCTCTGGGTGTATTAGATGATTGCAGGCAAAGTTGTAAATCAATGCACAGGTCTGTTTTATGGCACTTTTTGATTTACAGGATAGTTGCATCAATGTGATGAAGTTCCTTGACAGGTGGGTATAAAGTCCAGTGGACAAGCCAAAAATAGACATTTCCTGTCTTATAAAATTTAAAGCAGTTTCGCAACCCATTTTCCAGAACATTTACCAAAATTGTGTTTTTGTTTCACTATGGCAATATAAAATCACATATACCACAATAGAAGATTTTATGTACATAACTCACAAGACCGTAATATCCACGGTAGCCAGTCTGGCCTCCCTCATTCACTCAAGAAGCCTGATACAATAGTATCAATATCATCTTTCAGCACAACAATCACTGGAGACAAAAGAGTCTATGTAAATTTTATAGAAGAAACAGAACTCAGAGATTGTTTGACAAAACTAAACATTTCTTGTCTTAATGTTTACTGTTGGGATATCTAGCTTGGTAAATAATCCAGTCTGTGAAAGTTCTTCCTATTTTACAACAATTTAAGTCCAAGGCAGGCTTTAGTTTAGTGGCCAGACAGAAGCAAGGTAGAAGATTAAAAAACAAACGTAGCTGTTATTTATGTCTGGAAAGTTAACCTTTCACTAAAGCATGTTACCTCATCCTTTCCTCTGTTCCTTGTCTTCTATTCTCTTTCTACCTTGTCCACAGGAGGTGAGTGCGTTTGGCGACGAAGGGGAAGGAGACCACCTAGACGAGTGGACAGTTCAGTGTGGGGGATCTGTATGGAAGCGCGAGGAGGCTGTACGCTTCCGTCACAAGTCCACTGACGCGCTGCTGTCAGTGACAGGGGAGCAGTATGGACGGCCGATCCATGGTCAGAGGGAAGTTCACGCCATGATGAGCCCCAGCCAGCACAGCCTGTGGAGGGCCATGGAGGGCATCTTTATGAAGCCCAGTGAGAGTCCAGTTGGCAGCCGAGACTACAGTCACCCACACACAGAGTTCTGAACTTGACTTTTCTTCTCCGCTTCGGTCGCTTCAAGTTTTCCTCTCTGTCTACCACCATATACCTACCTCTGGCCCCAGTTACATCTGTACCAGCAGCTTCTTCCCCTCCCGTCTTGTCTCATTTTGCTATCTCATTAACTTTTGACAGTCATCTTTTGAGAAGTCTGTCATCGATCAGAGTACAATGACTTCATCTTATCGATCCATACCAACCTCTGTCACAATCATTGTGTTTTAGGAAACACTACTTGAATTCTCAAAGATCCAGCAGCCACACTCTGACAGCTAACACTATTTGAATACTTGATGGTCTCAACAGGTACAAGAAGTATTGTTACATTAGGTATTAAATGCTGCTTTACAGTAAAAGGCTAATCTTTATTACAGTTTGTGACATTTTACATCCAAGAAAAGGGGTTCCTCTCAGAACACAGTGCTGATTTTGCAGATGAAGTGAGGACTAAAAAAATAGTGTTACACTTGTGCCTTTCTCCGTTTTTAAGAAGAAGTAGGTGTTTACATTGTGGATCCTTTTAAAGGTTTGGAAACATAATGATTTTATTATGTTTTCATATTTTTGTAAGCCATATTCTACTCAAACAGTGGGTAAACAGTGTTACTATGGTAAATGACTCCCCCTGTCCCCCTTCAAGCCAGATTCAGTGTTGCATATAAAGTGTCGGACGCTAACTGACATGAGAGAATAAGCAGTTTTGTCTGTGGAGGTGTTTTTTCATTTTTAATGTATCTCATTGTACTGGATGCTGTTTATTAGGAGGAAGTATAGTGTTTTGCTGTCTTGCTGTCTGTGCATGCATATGTGTTAGATCAACGCTTTGTTCCAGAGGTTCATAAGAACGACAAACATGCAGTGAATACCTCATATTAAATGGATTTTTTTATGCATTCCAGTATCAGTGTGACTTCTTTGTTGGATTTTCTATTTTTTCATTTGGTTTCCGCGACAGTTGAGATGATATTGATATGAGCTGAAACTCTTCACAGCTGGTCTTTCCTAAGTGAATCACCAATGACATCAATGATTCTCCTGATGCTGCATTCACAATTTATTAATTAATGAGATAATGTCCCTTTATTTAATCATTCATTCAGTAGTTGAGCACGTTGCAGTCACCTTATAAAGTCCAACCCCTTATTTCACCCACAAAGATAGAAGTAAAAAGTATTAATGTCTGTCTGGACCATTACACCAAGTTTCATGCCTTGTTTGTCCACATAATGGCATGTTTTGGTTCATTATCTGGCAGTTAATGGGGTTTGGGTGAATCTGCTGTGAGGCTGGTCTTACTTGTGTTTGACCTATGTTCTCTAATTATCATGATTTAGAGTGAGTGCTGATGCCAACCCTACTCCACAGAAAACTCTTTCTGACAACGTTGCCGAACGTGTAAATTCACCTCCGGCCATCACGCACTGCGTCAAGCTAAAAAGAGTTTCTAAAGTGCAGATCTCAGTGATAGAAGGTTAACCTTTGTGTGCATGTCTGTCACACCTGCCAAGGTTAGTCCACTCAAAGCAGTTAGAGCAGTGAGGTTTCTGCACTTGAGGCTGCCCTTCTGACTCACAGCTTCTTTATCGACCCTTTGGTACCTGCATGGGGAAACAGCAACGAGGGGCACTCAGTGAAAACCACGCCATGTTGTGTTGTCATTGTATTTTTAGAGTTGGTATTTAAAATGACAATGCAACAATGATAACAAGTGACAAGTACAGCAACAAGCCTACTTTATACTGAGTGTTACAATTATTAACTGTGAAAATATTTATAGCTTATTGTGAGGCAATAGTCATGTTTAATCTATTCCCCGTATTGTAGAATGATTTACCTTTTTATGTTTTGTCATTATTGTATTGTACATGTTGTTGGTCTTGAGCCAAATATTTTATCTGAATTATTATTATTTTTTATCAGATACTCAAGGCACAAACATTTACACAAGTAAACACAGATGCCTTATATTTGTATCAAAACAAGGTTTTATTGCATAAACATATATGGATATATTTTTTTTTAGATTAAACAGATTGTTATTGTTATTTGCATTTTTAAATATCCATTCAGTTGGTGACTATTGCTGTTTTCTTTCTCCTTTTCTAAGCAGCATGCCAAGGTTGTATTACATATCTGTGTTTAAAGTTTTATCTCTATACAATCTACAAGGTAAAAACATGTTTTGGTAAAAACAAATCTCAAAAGCAACTTTCAAAAAACATGAAAATCATGAACTGACTCCATCCTGTTACAGATGTACAGTATAATAATGTAAACTTCAAAAGTGTTGATAAAAGGTCTTTCGAAAGAGTTTCCCTTACATAGACATGCAAGGAGGTTTGAATGGCACAATTATTAGAGAATTGTTAAGATAAAGTGGTCTATGCTGGTTTCAAAGGGACCATGACGCTAATAGACAAAGGTGAAAACATGGTCCATTGGTCAAATGTCAATGTGCTGAGAATAATAAAGACGGACTTATGAGGATAAGTGTAGCATACATTATACAGCAGTTTATACGAGACTCTGAGGCAGTGAAAACATTCAATAAAAACCTAATGTGACTAAAACACACAATATATTGTATTCAGTGTTAATTTTACCCATCCACAGTGAGGCCTACAGACTCTTCCAAAGATGGTGTGAAACAGAGATGATGATGATGATGTTGATGTTGATGATGATGATGATGATGATGATGATGTTGATGACGATGTGACCTTGTATTTGCATATTTATGAAAATGCCCTCTCCTGCACTCTGATTTGATTAATAGCTGGTAGAAACTAGAAAAATGGCTATTACAGTATAAACTGGAAAGTCAAATATGTGACAGTAGGAGATACATACCTACATTTAAACCAAGGCTGTGCCACCACAAAGAAAGATTAAATGGATTTCCCTGTCTTTTAAAGACATGAAAATCGAAACAACAACATGCATACTGATTTACAGTATAATACATTTTTCCGTGATACTTGATCGTACAAAGCTATTTTTTCATTTTATTTTAAAAGAAAGCCCTCTCCCCTTTATATTTCGTCTAAACTGGACAGCATATAAACTCACATGGCTGCACATTGCTTTGATTGAAATATCTAGTTTTGTTTTCATCCACCCTGACAAAAGGCAAGAGAACAAATAATCACTTTTAAGATATTAATGGGAATGAACCAGCCTCCAATCTAATAATGTCCAAGGGCAGCACCATGCACTTTGTTGCTGTTTTGGCATACAATGTTGTAATCTGTAGTAATGAACACCAACAAGTGTATTTCAAAGATCGCATCTCCATAGGGCTGGACGATGTAGTTGAAATATTTGTCACAATGTTAATTCAAATATTTTTATGATATCTAATAATATCACAGAATTTTCACATATAAAATAAGTATGTTCACTGTAACAAACCACTGACTCTTTAAATGTAAATGTAATCTCAGTTTTGAATGACAATTAGCTTGCAAACAGCATTTTAGTAAACCAATGACAGAATATGAACATATAATGCAATACTAATACAATAACATAGGTAAACAGTGATATCTCTTTATCGCCCAGCCCCACACCCACATAAAAAAACACCCAAAAACCAAAACCATTTTTATCCTCAAATTTAATCTGTGGTGTCATTGGGATGTTCAACCTAGGGCGGCTCCATTATAAAAGAAGAGGAGCATGATTGTAAACTCCTACAAGGTCTTCCTCAAACTTTTTCATCTCAGTCAGCTTTATAAAATTGTAGTGCTATCAGATCTGAACCATAAAACATAGCTTTGACCCCTAAAACTATCACAGGTGCTGCAGCAATCACCTTCAGTATCTCATCCAATCCTGAGCTGTACACTGATGTGACAACACAATTTTGGTTGTGGAGAAAAAAAAAATCTTAAAAAACCAAACCAAACTGACCTTGTGACACCAACATGACATATATCAAAGCTCAAATTCAGTGGTGTTGTTCTTCACCTTGTAAACATGGTTGTTTAAGCATTTAGCTGCAGTTCTCATTTTAACCACTAGAATGCAACCTTATCCAAGAACACAGCTAGACCAACAGTATATCACAGCTCTACTGTATATCCCTGATTTATCTCACTAGTTTCTACCCTTCATACATTCCGCTGTTGAGCATAATACATTACACAAGATAAGTAGTACTATATATACAGTGAAATCAATGGTAAACTGGTGTTAGAGTAATGTTTGGTATGGCAGTGTATATACTGGCATGCTTTTGTGTGGTTTATATGTACCACAGTTGGGCAGTATTACAATGAGATGCTGAGGTGACACATTTTCAATCTTGTAACACACAACTAAAATATCATAATTTATATCAGCCAGGCCCTATTATTAACCAAAAACATAGCTCTTTGATTTGATGTTTCTTCTTTTTTACCTTCATGTAGTTTACACTTCTCTCTGAGCTTACATCATGTATGCGGACAACACCGTCTTTCACATATCCACACAAATGTGAAATGATCAATAAATCAATCAATCAGTATTAAGATTAAAGAGAAGGGATAGTGGGACAATGATGATTCATAAGTGGTCCCTCACTGAGTATTGAGTTGTGCTCCTTGCAGACACACAGAAAGACTTCACGTGCGCCAAGATTAGCAGACTGGGCCGAGGATGTTGATGTTTCACAAAAAGTGTGGGGTTTATACACGAACATATGAGATGTGAGGAATTTATACATTTAAATACTGTGTCCAACATTCACTCTGTTCCCATTCAATGCAACTTCTCTAGGGTAAATATGCAGTTGTCCATAATAACCATTGTTTGTTTTAGAAATTAGGAATGGCTCAAAGCACCTGATCAGCATTTTTCAGTAATTAGAAAATCAAGTTAAAGGGTGGTCTTGGTCATGAAAACAGCAAAATAAAACTCACTATTTATTCTCACAATTTATATAAAAACATGATTTCTTTCCATTTCACATTCTATATAAGTCCAGTAACTCTACTTGGGTGACATCGTCAACGCAAAACAAATATATAATTTTACTCAAATTGTCTGCTTCTATAGGGAAAGTTATTCAACTTAAAAAGACTCAACTGATTGTTTAGAGAAGTGCTTGGGTTGTGGCTGGTCCAGCTTTGGCTGCAAAGACAAGATGTGAGGTCATGGCTGTTCTGTCCACTCCCCATGCTCACAGTGCAATTGGTTACTCCATGCCATTCCGCAGCATCTGATTGGCTGCGATAAGCATGACACTGATAATGAAAGCCATAGCAAAGGCGCAGATCAGGCTTTTCCTGACACATGTCTGCCGATTCTTCTTCTTGGGATGGACTGAGAGAAGTGAAAGAGAAAAGAAAAGAAATAAGAGACAAGAGTATAGTTCTCCTATAAAAGCATAAATAGTAGTTTTAACTCTTCGGTTTTTGTATGGCTTAAACAAATGAGATATAACGTGTTCATAAGTGTTTTTTGGGGTTTTGTTGGGTTAGTTCCTGTTTTATTTTGAAGTAGTCTGTTTTTAATAAATCAGTTGCTGCTGGTTCAAGTGTCTGCTTCTGGGTCCCAAACCTGACAGATATTGAGCTTTAAAGGTGCTGATAGGCAGATTTGATTGACAGATTCTTGGGACAGAGCCTGGCTAACTGTTTTCCCATTTACAGTGCTAAGCTACGTCAAGCCTCTGCTGGCACCTGCTTCATATTGCATAATGCGTAGACATAACATTTGTATCAATCTTCAACAAGAAAACAAAATGAACTGTAGCTTTAAGTAATCAAATAAAAGCATGTATTCTATAAACAATACAATTCTGTACATAAATTACAAAACCACTTGGTCATACTGGGATTCCAGGTAAGTATGCCATCAAAAAGGAGTCAGTGGACAGCTGGAGAAAGATCAAGGAGGCCATTAACATTTGCTTCAAAGACTGCCCTTAACAGTCATAATACGACCACCTGTCACATAACCGAAACTCACGTGATGATACCTAAGTCACTTCCATTGGCAGAGTGAAGACTGAGACATGCAGTCAAAAGCTCAAAAAAGGGTGGTAAATTGACCTTTGAGTAGAGACTTGTTTTGTCACACATTTTGTTCCCAAGATCAAGAACATCAGAACTCATGCTAACATGAAAAACTTTTAGAATTAAAACTTGAAGATGAATTTGCAGACATGTTGATAATCCTCAAAGTGTCTTCTGCTGTGCCTTGTACATTCATGTAGTGAATTAATTTTCACCTGTCAAGGTGCTCATTTTCTTTGACCCAAAACAAATATGGATGAAATAGCAGCTAACAGATCATCAGTGGAAGTGTCTCCAATGAAAAAAATGATGATACACAGGCACAAACAGTTTGAATACTCTATGCTGCAGCAAAAAACAAGACAATAGGAGTGAGTTGGAACTTTTGTTCTGCTACCTGTCTGTGTGGGCAAATACATTATGTCTGGAGTTTGAGTGAGGAAGAGTAGACACAGATGTGTCCTCCAACAGGCCTTGCAGCAAGAACAACAACTAAAAGTTCCCTTTCTGTCAGCCCCCTTGTCTCAGTTTGTAAGAATCACACACCGCATCAATAAATCAAGTCAGAGCGTTGAGTTGTGGATCTAAGAGGGACTGTGAAAGGCATTGAAGTCCCACCAGACAGGAAGGAGATGGTAAGGAAGCACGCAAGAGAGAGGGAAGTTGAGGATGTAGGAAAAGGGTTAAATGTGGGGAGACATGCAGTTGTTCTTTACAAGAGAGGCTATACCTTTTCATCGCTTCTTTATTCTACCCCCTGCCTACTTCTCTTTCTACTGTTCTTATTCCTCTCCCTAACTCCATGTCACGCCCTTCCCTCAACACCAGAAACTTTGTGAAAGAGAGTGCCAAGCCAGCAGTTCCCTGATCCCTTCTTTAGCCTCTTATCTCCTCCTTCACTGTCCCTTCTCTGCTAAGTTTCTCCAATTCCTGCCGGCTGTCTCTTTTTAGGTCTTCCCGAAACTGTGGGCCAGTACCCAATGGATTCATTAAGACTTTCCTAGTTCTCTAGTATGTTTGATCTCTCTTTACCTTTGTCCTAGTCTGACTTGTGGATGTTTCACTGCAGATGGGCAATTTCTAGATCTGTACCATAACTAACACAGGGTCAGATTAAGGTTTTTGGTTCCCTCTTCTCCCTAAAGCAACATCACTTGGTTTTATGTCTCAAGAGAGAAACCTTTAGTGATTCACTTGGGCACTCAGACATTAGCAACCCATCAGCCCTCTAATTTCTGGCTTTGAAACACAAAGAAAGGCATGACCTCGAGATTAATAAATTTTATAATTTAAATATTACATCTGTTTCTGTGAATAGCATTCTTGACCCTATCTCAAGGTCACCACTGTACAGATGATGATACAGATTCATGTTGGTACAGCAGCTCATTAAAAATAAGGATTTTACCTTGAAATTTGCCAACCAAGACTTAGAAAGTATCCTCAACACTTTGTGTAAACAGTGAATTTGTCTGTTCATCAACAATTTAGCCTTAAAGGGGCATTATGTAGTTTTTAATGGCCACTAGCGGTGTGGTTTTAAGATTGCAACCAGGCGTGTGCTCGTACGCGTGCTCGCTTCGACTCATGAGCGAGCAGAACCCAAACACAACCATGTGTTATACCATAATAAACGCAGAAACACCAGCATGCAGGCTGTGGCTTTTCTACAGACATGTTCAGGCTCTGGTACTTCAACTTTCCCGTCTCAGAGGCAGATCAACACCGGCGCCGTAACGTTACTTCATTCAGCGCAGCCAGCCACATATCGGCAGAGTGACAGCGGCTATAGACAGACAGGGAGACTGCTTCACACAACATGCTGGAAACTCAGGAAACCCCTACTGCCACGTTACAGCAATAGTTTTATCAGCTGCAGGTTGAACTAAGCCATGCTTGTTACATGATCACGGTACATTTACTGCATTTAGCTGACGTGCTACATTGTTAGCTCGCCTGCTGCTTTCAGTAGCTATCTTTACTATCTGTGTATCTTTCACCGGAGGCTTGCAATGTCAGCACTGCTAAATGTATTAGATTATAACGAAACGGGTAGTGAGCTGGACTGAATATTTTAACGAGATTGTATCACAGTTTATAACAGCTAGACCGCAGTAAGTAACTTTACTGTTGTGTCAGTGGATGGCTTTTCCTCTGGGTTGTATATTATGTGGGTCACGTTAGTAATAGCGACTGAGAGGTGGAGAAGCTGTGTACCTGAGTATTGGTAAAAGGCAATAAATCTAAATTGAACGTTACGAAGCAAACAGCGGCGGGTCCGAGCTAATGTAGCGTTAGCTGGCTGCTCCTGGCTGCATCACTATAGGCTAACATTAGTAAACAAATCGCTCCATATTTGCTTTTTGCCGTTACATCATTTCTTGCAGGCTAAATCAACAGTGGTACACAGGATAGTAACATGGGTCGCGTTGGTGAAGTAATGTGGAAAGCGATATAACTTTGCACTAGATAATGTTAGCAACTGCTCGGTGTTAGCTCGGCGAGCTAACATGACTTTCTGTGTGTTTCTCCAGCTTTACTAATGCTCACTTTGTTCTTACTCGACATCATCTGAACCTGTTTGGTCTGATGGGCTTCAGCACATGAACCTTTATTGTTGTTTTGTATCCTTGTGGAGCCTGTGTTTTGCTGTGAGCCGGTTGTTTTATGGTGTTAGTGGACTGCATGTCGTTAGCTGCCGTGTTGTCGCTGTAGTACGAGAGAGGCTCGGGAGCGCACACAGGGCTGAATGTGACCCAGAGACCTCACATTAAGCAGAATAGTGGCGGATGCAAGCAACGGAGAAAACAGGCATGTGCTTCATTTCTAAGTGAGTTTTGAGCCCATTGACAATAAGGCCATGACAATTTGATTTATTAAAATCAAAAACTTACATATAGCCCCTTTAAAGGAGTAGTTTTATATTTTGGAAAATATGCTAATTTGCTTTCTTGCCAAGAGTTAGATGAGAGGATCAGTACTACTACTCTCAAATTTGTATCCTGTAGTATGGAGCTAGAGCCAGGAGGCAATTAGCTTAGCTTAGCAAAAAGACTGGAAGCAGGCCAAAAGCGCTTGCTTGGCTCTTCCAACACTCATCACTGCATCATGTTTGTTTAATCCCTACACAAACACAAAATGTAAAAACGGCAATTTGTAGTTTTACAGTAGTGTCACAACGTCTTTTAATTGAAAATGTGTTTTTTAAATATGTTTATTTAGAACAACCTGTACAGTTACTTTTGCTTTCACTATTTTTTATGGATGTAGCTTTACAGTAGCAAGCTAGCTATGTGTTAATATGATGTCCCTAACAGCAGAAATCAAAGAATGTAACAGCATAACAGACATATTTGAAATGCTGAACAAATTAGAGATGTGGGTAGAAGATCTGGAAACAGACTAGTTTAGCCCTGCTCCTACTCTTTATTCTAAGCTAAGCTAACTGCCTCATGGCTCTTGCTCTACACTAGTGCAGAGATATGAGAGTGGAATCAATCTTCTCATCTTTCTGTCAAATGTCAGACAGTTTGATTAAGCATACAGTTCTTATATGGATTAATGTTGGGATAATGGTTTTGTAGTACATTTACATACATTTGCTTAGCTCAATGTCAAATTGCTGCATAAAATATCGTCTGAATTACAGTACAAGATTACTTTTTATAAGCACAGATATTTATACCAGCAAAGAACAGCTTCCTCACCTCCCTCATACTCAGGGCAGTTCCCTGAGGTTTCGTTGAGGCTCTCTTCCTCTGTGATGATGATGTTCTCTATGTCCTTCATTGTCAGGTGGTCCCGGAAGGCGTGGAACAGCACCTGCTTCAGCTCATCCAGAGACAGCTGCTGCATGTCAAACTGCAGGGGCACACGGTGATCAATGCAGAGACACAATCATCCACAAACTGGCTTTATGAGGGCAGATAAATACAGAAGATAAGAATGAGACATGAAATGTACAAGCTGCAAGAATGGCATGTATGAATGTGTGTTTTATTAGCTAAATGTGTAATGTTCAGGTACATTACATAAGTAGGAAAGGTGTCAGTTATAATTTGGCAACACGTTTGCCTGTGGATCCCACGTGCTATTTTTTGGTGCCTGAATCAGTATACAAACCTGAATGTGTGCATTGATGTGTACAATGGAAATTCTTAGTTGTGTGTGCATGTTTGTGTTTAATATGATTTATGACCAATCTGACCAATCACTGACTTGACGTCTGAACCATAACTTTGATCTGTCCTGTTCTCTGTCTGCCCTTCCAAAACATCACGTCCTTCCCCCCCCCCCCCCCCCCCCCCCCCCCCCCCCGCAGATCCCCCCTACAATCCATGGACACACATGCACACGCCATCCTCAAACCCACTAGCATCTATGTCTGGATTATTTACCTCACTGACAGCCTCAAATACAATCAGTCGCTTGGTTTAGCACAACAGATGGACATACTGAGACAGGCAAGGCAAAGAGGAAGAAAATAAGGGGAAAATAATAAAAGAATGGCAAGGTCAGAGAAAACTGAGACGAAGGAAGTAGTGGGAGACACAGATGGAGAAAACAGAACTGGCAGACAATGGTGATTACGACATAAAAGAGTTGGGATGGTGAAGAGGAGATGCTCATTTCAACGAGGGAACGATAATACTGCTCATGCTTTATTTTCATACTTGCTAAATGCTATAAACAACAAAAATTCATGCTTAACCAACAGAGACATATTATTTACCAACTAATCAGAAGTTAGAAATTGTACTAGTAGGACTTATCATTGGTATCAACCAAAATGTGACCATCAATTGCTGAAACCTGACATTAAATGCCATGTCAGATTTGCAGTTTTCATATTTTTTTTAAATTACGTGGTTTTTGTACGTATCAAAAAACCCCAAACAAGATAAGTTCATTAGCGATTTTTTGACGTTCTGGCTGGAAAACAATTTTTTACCTTTAAAAGAGCCATGCTGCTTCCAGTCTTTATGCTAAGCTAAGCTAACTGGCTCCTGTATTTCCCAAAATGTCAAACCTTTCCTTTAACCAGATGCATTATTTTTAGGTTCTTAAGTGCAAGTGTAATGTTTTTAGATAACATGTTTTAATATTGAAAAACCATACCCAGGTATTGTTTTGGCACTTGTATTGCAAAGAAATTAAATTATACCAAGCTCTATTTATTGGTGTTCTAACAAAGCAATCAATGGACCGTAACCAAGATATCAATGCAATAATTAATTTATATTATCTACAAATATGCATGCATGATAACAAACATTTAGACACATGCAAACACACATTTTATGTATCCCATCTAACGTCCATGTTGCCTTTCCAGGTGATTTATACTGTAATAATGGAAACATGTATGTGGAGGCATACACGTACACACACAAGAACAAAAACACGACACACAACATTGTTAACAAACCTGGGACATTGCAGTAAATAGAAACATTTTTTCACACATACAAAGACAAATACACTCATTAAATTGCTCAGTTTCTGTCTGGTCTACTACCTCTTCCCCCTCTCACTCACACACATATCCACACAAACACATGTATATCCTCTATTTGGTAGCTAAGGTAAAAGATCAATATTATTCACAATTAATTAAGCAAACTTAGATCAAACTAAAACAACCTTTTATTTCCTTTTTGAAAAGACTTGTTTTCACTCTGAGGCTTTTTTAAGTAGCAGACAAGCAAAAGTGACAGAGATACAGGCATAGAGATACAGGTCTGCAGGGATGAGGCTTTTCCCAAAGCAAGCCTTTCTGCACCTCAGTGCTCTGTACCTACGCCTGGAGGGCAGTAGAGTTAGGTGGTGATTGAGTGGATGTGTGATATCCTGTGCTACTGAGGTTGTAATGTGTGTAATGGCCTTATTGTTTGGCTCTGTTGGTGTGGTGAGACCAATTATCCTGGCAGCGGTGTTGGTTCTGTGTGTGAGTTTGGACTGATAAGTAATGGATTACATGTTATAGAAGCAGGTGGAACAGTGCATTAGGATGGGCTGAATAATGCTGTACTACAATAGGAGGAGATTAGGGTCAACATAAAGTGACATGAGTTTGCTGGTTGAAACTGTACAGTCGATTGTACAGTGTCACTCTGACGTATTGGAAACTGTCAACCATTTTGACTTGTGTTTTTGATGAGAATGGGATTCTGAGGTGAGGTTTGATGACACTGAGGTGCAGATGGTTATCCTCAAATCACTGGATAAAGTGTGCAACCATGTTGTGATAGCCCAGAGCACAGTGGTTTTCTGTGAGCAGGGCAAGAATGGCTGTGTCATCTGAGTATTTGAGGTAAGCAGTGATGGGTGATGGACTGGTGCCGTCATTGGTGTACAGTTTTAAACACTGGATGACAATTTCATCTCAGTTACTAATATTTTCGGATGCTGTTTAGGGCCCATTTGCGACAGTGAACATCATGTTTGCAACCACAGCTGCAAAACAAGCCTACATTCAGTTATGATGAGTTTTACCTACACCTCAAATTATATGTAATAATACTTCAAATTTCCATGGTCAAACAAAAATGCACATTCAATGATTAACTGCTCTGACTCATGCAACCTTGTGTGGCACTCCAGGGCAGAGAAACTGGGAGTGATAGCAGCAGTTGGAGGGCCTGAGCTGCCGGATTTCTGCTCTGCTTCTTGCCAAAGTCTGCCTTGAATGGATGCTGGGAAATGGAGGAACAACTCTTTGGACTGCAGCCGCAGGACAGACAACATGACAGCTCAGTGCAGGAGCACGGAGAATGTACAATGTTCCTGTCTGTCTGTCTGAGGGGGGAAATGCCACAGTGGTGCCGCTACCGGTTACCAACCAACAGAGTGATTTCTCTCTCTGCCCGGTCTCTGAAGGACATCGACATCCACACAAACACACACATACACACACACACACACACACACACACACAGCGATGAACAGAGGATGCAAAGACTTAAGAGTTTGCCTGTCAGAGCATTTCGTCTTCCACTGAATGAACTCAAATATGTAATATATGTGTGTGTATTTGTATACCTGTGAGTGTGCGTGTGACAGGAAAACAGCAGGGGATCGGGAGCAGTGACCGATGACATACTGATGGAGCCAGGACACACATCAATCAGAAGAACAGGTGCTTACACGCTGTCCCTCCCATCTAATCCTGCCCTCAAACAGCACAAGCTTGTTTCGTCAGTCATTCACCTGCTTTGTCTTCTGACCCTTCTCTAAAAAGCCTCCCAGAGTGACAACCTGCAAGCATTGTTTCTTTTACCCTGTACTGTTTTCCTCCTGTTTTCTGTCTAGCAGCAGTTCTGTTGGGTCCAAGTGAAGTTTGTACCAAAGTGCTTTAACAAAAAGGAAAATGTATACACAATTACACACACACACACACACGGAGGACAAATGTTAGTATAAAATATTACAAAAGTGCAGGTTATATGAGTTACTTTTAACAAAGATAGTAGAGGCTACTGCCAACCACAAATGAATAATAAAATGAATTAGATCTGTCACAGTTGTATAGGATTGAAGGAGGGACAATTTTCTAGAAATATCAACATTTTTGTTTTGATTTTGTCAATCTGAAGCAACATGTTTCACAGCCAAGGTCCTGAAACCGAAGAGGCCCTGTGCTGGTCACTTTTTGGAAAACAGTGTTAATAATTGCACTTATGGTCACAGGCGCCTGAGCAATGGAGCAAATGCATCCCCATTATTCAGTTAGAGGGAGCAATGTTGTGGTTTTGCTACCCCACTTTTTGTCTTTTTAAAAATAAACCTATCATCATACAGTTGCAGCAATCAGGTGATCATTTAAAGCAGACCATGATTGTTTTATTATTTTCTGCTAAAACCACCCTGTGAGTTGGCTCAGTATAACCTGTCACTGATCATTTGCCACAGCATGCTTTGTCTGTCAGTCCACTCAGAAGACTGTTTACAAAGGTGAGGAACACAATATTTCCAAACAGCGATTATAGACTTAAAATAGCCAAATCCAAGAGTCGGCTCTTTTTAAAGCAACTTTATGTAAGATGTGTTGTTGTTCTTGTTGTTGTAAATAAGGACAGCTGTACACGTGCATTGGCTGATGTTTTGTTGATGCCATTAAGCATTACGCTGTTCTCGCTATTGAAATCCTGCCCGGGACTTCAGTTCTACATAGTGTCAGGCAAAGCTACCTACGGAAGATAAAAATACTACATAATAATAATAATAATAATAATAATAATAATATTATTATTATTATTATAATTTGCATAAGCCCTGTTGATTTTATTTTTCGGATGTATTGGAAGGTAAACACACAGAAAAGCAATTTACCCAACTTTTTCAAATGCATCATATACATGCACGCACGCACATACACACACTAACCTAGAATAGTGTTTCCCAAACCTCTATTAGAGCATGCACCCCCTGTCCAACATGTTTTTCTTCCAACCCTGATTCACCACAACTGACAACTGGCTCAAATGGGATTTTATGAGCCATGCAGTTATATTCTACAAAGTGAGGAACAAACAATGTGTCATTATTAATCATCTGTAAGATTTAGTAGGGCATATGCAAAATTATGATTATTTTATGTTTTGGAAATTTTCCTCTACTGTTACCATAAGTCCGTTTAAGTGGTGTAGAAATGTAGGCAAAAACAGTTTGAAATTACTTCCCCCTGCCAATTACGTATCTTTACAAATTTGCTCCCCTATTTTAAAACATTAACAGGTACCTGCGTACTGCACTTTGAATGAAACCATCCACCCAATGGCAGTTATTATGTAACAGAGACACACCACTTTTTTAAAATTACACTACATTTGGCATCACTGTTCATGAGTATGAACACTACAGACTGTCTCAACAGATGCAGGGGCAGTGATAAGCCTGTCACTGGCTGACTATTTCATTCTGCTTCCTTCACCCTTCTTTTCACTCTGCTGTAATTGACAAAAATACTTACAAGTGGTCGAGGACTAGTTTGTCCATTTAGTTTGAAACTACCACCAATAGCTTAGCTTAGCTTAGCATAAAGAGTTGGAACTAGGGTTGACCCCAAATAGCTGAAGATTCTGGTGCTTCGATGGGCAGAGCCTGATTCGACTGTCAATTTCACAGTCGAAGCTTCGCAGCTAAACAAGGATCATGCCATTTTGGTGATGTGGGGGTGCTCAACGTCCGATTTTACATAGAACGACCAGTTCTCTCCCAATAAGTTAATATACTGCCTATTAGGCTACAACATACATTTCAACATTAAATGCTGTAAATAAACATGTAAAAAGAATAAAACTTTCAATAAATGTTTTTAAAGTGCCTGAATAAATTTGAAATTGTAACCTGGGCCGTCAGTGCGCATGTGTACGCGTAGGTATAGGAGGAGCTGAAGAGTCACCACTGATAAACCACACAAAGAATATTTTATCATTTTTAAATAGTCATCTACTTGAAATAGACCCGCGAGGAACATTCATGCAGTTGTCGGCAGCACAAAATGCACGCAAAACTCTGCACAAGACCGGTAAATGACAGGCGAGAGAGAGAGAGAGAAAAGGGTCTTCAAAAAGCCTCAGTTTAACACCCCCCACCCTCTGCTTGCATTCGCCGCGCACAAAAATAGGCAGGACTTGACGATTCTGATTCGACTATGTAAATCCTTAGGGGACAATCCTAGTGGAAACAGGACTATTGTTTGGCCAGCCTGCACAAGAAATAGTCCTGCACATAAACTCCTGTAAACCCACAACTTGGTGTTTTGCAAAAGATATTTCAATTATTCCTGTCCACCACATGTCTACTACATGTCTTTTTTACTCGCACTTCTCACAATAGACAGCTCTCATTTTAATCTATGCAGTTGTATGCACCGGCTCCAGGAAGGCTCACTTCTCATGCTGGGAATACAGCCGGCTCTTGCGATCTGCAGCAATAGTTTCAGCATCTGTTCTTGGTTTTTTTGTGTGCTGTAAGTGAATCTGGCAAGAAAACTATATAATTGATATTTGATTATAGATTAAATGATCTGATTCTGATAAATGATGAAACATGCATCCCGTGCTTGCTAACCCTTTTGATTTCTCAGTCCCTCACCCCGCTGTTCACACCGCTGTTTCAATTCCTCTGTTGTTTTCCCCCCACATGACGAAATATCCAAATCTGCCCACCATAAGAATAAGACACAGTATCACTGCTGTTTGTTATTGTGTTTATTTAATTGTGTATTTAATTGTGTCCACGTATTTGTGAGTTGTGTCTAAACAGAGTGACAGAGAGGAGTAGACACAGACAGGCAGGAGAGTAGCCCCTCCTTGCAAATATTCACATAAGTCCTTGACTTAACTTTATTGTTGCTTTTCCAGAAAGACATAAAAGCTGAATTCATGCGGTTATTATAATTTAAAAAAAAAAAAAAAAAGTTGAGCTCTAAAAAAAAAAAGAGCAGAGGGGCATTGTTTCACAGTGCTTGATGGTCGAATTTGTTACTGTTGTTACTACTTGGACAGAGCCATGCTAGCTGTTTTCTAGTAACTTAACACCAGAGCTGGACTGTCTTATACTCTAACTATGCACGTTACGTAGGGTCCCTCAAATGAAGCGGAAGCAGGTCCCCACCACCTTCTAGTGTCAAAGCAAATGTCAGTGTTTGCAATTTTGAAGAGAGGATGAAGAGGGATTATCCTTCTGACCATGAGAAGAGAAAAAAACTCTTGGGAACAGCAAGACAGTAATGATCTAGTCTCTAAGTCAAGGTTTAGTTACAACTCTGGATATATGCAAGATGGAAAGCAATGGATTGACAGGCCTTGATGCAGCTGATAACATTAATAACTAAGTATTGTTATCTATTATGTATAGGGGCTATATTTAAGTTTGTCAGTAGAGTAGAGACTAGATCGTCAGCCAGTACAAGCGCAGTTTATCCACATCCAGCCTCAGCCGGTACTAGCACAGATCCCGTACAGACGTCTTTAGCAAGTCACACAGACCCAGGTGAAGTACAGGCAGCATCAGATATGAGCAGCTCAGACCCTATTGGAACAGTTGCTGAACCACTAAATGACCCAGCAGATTGGTCCCCAGTCTGAGGACTGACTTAGTGCGCAGAGGTCCAGACCAGCCCTGACCATTCAAGCTTATTACGCATGTTGGGCATTAACGTGTTTCTGTAATATATACTTTTGTCAGTAACTAGTAGTGTAAGGTATGTCTATATCCAAAACAGTAATAATTACAATTACACATTACATTACAATTCCCGAGTTACTTGCCCACTTTTTAATATACAGACAGACTGTGAGAGCACTGCGGTGTCAGGTGTGACTGTGCTGCAATGACAAATTGTTTTCATGGCTCACAAGTCAGGTAGGAGGGCCCCATAGCAGAATATTGCCTAGGGCCCCAGGGAGGTCAGGATCGGCTCTGCTTAACACCAGGCTGAAAGCAGTGTTTCACTGCGTTTTCTGGTTGAACGTTTCAAGTCTGTTTGTTTGGGGTAAATGGGTTAAACATGCTTTGGTGGCCCTTGCGATGGCAGGACCTCAAGTGGTAGAGAAAGGTGGGCATTTATCATAAGGTTGGTTCAATCCCTGATTTCTCCTGTCTACATGTTGTGCCCTTAAGACAAAAAGCATCTACCAAATGATTATAAGTAAAAACACTAGTAACAAAATCTTTCAGCTTCTGTAAAATCATAGAAGATTATGCAGACCTCTGTCCTGCACTCGCTCAGCCATATTTATACACCATAAACACTGTTACTGATGTTAGCTAAAAAGATTTTTTTCCTCTTTAGGCATTGTAGGCTTAATTTGCAATGGAAGGCTGGATGCTTCTTTTTTTCAAATCTAATTTACTGACTGTCAGCAGAAATGTAGTAACTTGAGTCAGGAGTTTTTTCAAAGCAGATATCTAAATCTCCCTGAGGTTTTACACAGGCCATGCTACAGCAGAAAATAAACAGAAAAACAGAATTCCCCCCCCCAGATATTTCAACGGTACTCTGAATCAAACAAACAGGATACAATCAGACACGAAATGTATTGAATACACACACACACACAAATGCACACTCAGAGGGAAGTATAATTACACACAAAACATGCCAACTCCAGTCTCCCCAACAAAATCAATCATTATACATCTCACTGTGCAAGGATATTATCTGAACATACTGAACTGAGTCATTATGGCCCACCATGATGTGCTCCTTCTCCTCCATCTTTCTTTTTTGTATACAATGACTCCCTCTCTTCCTGTCTCCCTCTGGGGTCTGTGAAATACACACACAAAACAAAATGCCGTTCTCATAGTCCTCAGAGACACACTTCCTCCCACCATTTCATCCCCCTCCTCCTCTTCCTCCTCCTCCGTCTTCCTATATTCTTTGCTCTCTGCTTTCATTTCTCGCTCGCTCCCTCTCTCCTCACCTACTTCTCTCCTCTTCCATCTCTCACTTTTCCCGTCCCCTTCTTCCTGTTTTCTTTTGGTCTGACTCTCTCCTTGTGGTAGGTGAACATTTTAAATCACCCCTGAGACGCACACCGTCTGCGACCTTCATGAATCACAGTCTCTCATTCCTCTTCTTTCATTTTCTTCCACTCTCTTCCTTTGTGGTTTTTCTTTATATTCCTGTATCTTTATGTGGGGCATCCCCCCGCACCACCCTCCAACTCCCTCCCCATCCTCACATATTGTCCAGCTCGCCTCTCTATTCTTTCATCTCATTTAGCCTTGCTGGCTGGCGCACTGTAGTCCATCTTGCTCCATCCCTCCTTCATAGATGCAATGCGTCTCATTTATAAAAAGTGTTCTATTTCACTCAATTTATATTTATTTTTTTAATTATGTTTTCTGAAGTGACTGCACAATGAAATCTAGGATAAAGAATGTCTATGTAAATGTGGCCCAGTATGTGTGTGCAACCTGAAACGCACACACCTCCTCATTTCAGTGAGTCACCCTCTAAATGTTTCTCCTCTCATTTGACTCAAGGAAAGCAGGGAACAGCTTCCTGAGAGCTGTCACCCTGCTCAACCAGCCGTCCTCACACTCAAACACACACACTCAAAACGCACTGCACTTTTCATTATTGTCGCATGTCTTACCTAAGAGGCAAAAACAACACTCTGAGAGCAGATATTCTGTCCGGAACCATTTTCAAAAACAAAGGAAGCACGTTCAAAAGCATGTAGATGAGCTGCAGCCTCAATCACCACTGAGCCTTAGTTTGGACATTTTAAAAGCACACAAGACTCAGACTTCCCCCATACAGTGTCACATCCCTTCTGCAACGCTGTGAATGATAAAACACACACGCACACCCGAACCCCAAAACATACACATACTCACAAAAGGAAACACACCTAATTTTTAGCAGGTCTCTTTTGCTTCAGCGCCTTGAGACGAAAGAAAAAAGTCTCTGTTTTTGTCAGAACCGAGGAAGCAGGTGGGGGGGCTGAGAGTGGTTTTTTTGTGTGTGTGTCTGTGTGTGTGTGTGTGTATGTATTTTTGCACTTAAGTAGGTGTGTGTCTGAGCAGAGTCCCTGCAGAAACTAGGGCTGTGCCTAAGGATGTAAGAGTTGCTCTGACTGCTTAAATACACAGACAGAGTAAGTAAGAGGAGATGTAGAGGAGGGAACTGATAGATGATGAGGATTGTGAGTGATTGTGAGTGAGAATCCAGCTTTAGTTACTTATTCACCTGCCAGAAGATGTTGTCGATGGTGTTGCCCAGGAATCCTTCTCTGTTGTCAGACGACAGCAGTTTGGGCCCCAGTATCGTCATGAACTCCTCAAAATCCACCTGGCCGTCCCCTGCGGGCACACACACACACACACACACACACACACACACACACACACACACACACACACACACACACGCACACACAGAAAGAGAGAAAGGCAAGGAGACAGACCAGGACAATAGAAAATCAGATTCACAGACAGGAAGGCTGGCAGATCGGAGCTAAATAATGCATTTTATGCTGAAGTTTATTTGCTTGCCGAAACAAGAAAAAGCGCCCTGAGATAGATCAACAGATGGATGTGCCCTCATCCATGACAAACACCCATGCATCATCAGCACTAATTCACCTTTTAAATAAAGTGTGTGCACCTGTGCGAGTGCGTGCCAGCGTGCGTCTGTGTGTGAGCGATTGTGAGATTGTTTTGTGCGTCGAAGTGACAATTCAGAGAACATTCAAAAATTTAAATTCAAAGGACACAACTGTGTTTGCATAAGTGTTTGCATTATGTATTCTACTGCTGCATGTTGTTAGAGATAGCAATCAACAGCCAGTGTCCCATGGAATTAATACTCAGTGAAAACCTCCACGACAGCATGTCTTATAAACTGAATTACTGCATAGACTTATTATAATATTATTGCCATTATTCATTTTACCACCAGTTTACAGTGTTATCTATTGTGTTATTTATTGTTTGATCTAATAAGTAGCATATCAGAAGCATTAGTACGAGCACAAGTCTCAGTGCTGCTGTGTTAGTATTGGTAGTAGGATAACACTTTTATTTGGGTCTGTAATTTTTGAATCATTGCCAAGAAGTTCCAGAGAAAGAACTATGTAATTTGGTACTAATTACAGAGAAAACAGAGACAGTACTCCTGCAATGAATACATTTTAATTAATTGCTGTGAATTCCCAGAGAGTCTTTATGTCAGTGCACAGACCAGCTGAACAGGCAAAAATGTAAGAAAATGTGAAATTTGAGTTTGTCCACAGGTAAGATTACATTTTAACATGTAGGGATAATTAAGTTTTTAATAATGTTTACTTGTGTTTAAATGGGGCAGCATGGTGGAGCAGTGGTTAGCAAAGTTGCCTCACAGCAAGAAGTTCATGTTTGGGACCTTTCTGTGTGGAGTTTGCATGTTCTCCTTGTGTCAGTGTGGGTTATCCCCGGGTGCTCCAACTCCATCACACAGTCCACAGTGGTGGCTCTGAATTGCGCTTAGGTGTGAATGTGATCATGAATGGTTGTTTCTCTCTATGTGTCAGCCCTATGACGAATTGGTGGCCTGTCCAGGGTGTACGACTGCTGGGATCGGCTTCAGCCTCCCGCAACCCTGCAAAGGATAAGCGGATATAGATAATGCATGGATATATTTAAATGGAGCCTTCTATTAGTATTGAACACCATCAGTTGACTGTTCTGAAACCTGACTGCAGTTTCTCAAAAATGCAGCTTTAAATTGACAAATATAATCTTATATTTTAAGACTACTTTGCCTAAAACCTGAAGGAGGGATAAAAAGATAATGCCAGAGATCAGCGGATTACGCTTTGGGAAGGAGGGATTTAATGACATCTGATGGACTGTGCAGGTTGTCTAACAACCAGATAATAACTGACATTCTTCAGCTAATTGTGCCATGTCCACTTTCAGTGCTTTACTAGCGACAACATTGAGAAGATAGAAGTCAGGAGTAGAGATACTGTCTCTCCCCAGAACAAATGGCTGCGCTGCTCTCAGGTGAACTACTTATGGAGGCAAAAGCAAAAAGCTTTTAGCTTTGACCTTTGATATTTGCCACGGGCTGTGGAATCAAGAGCAGGCAGATAAGAACCATTTGAACGATTGACTAGCTTGTTTGTGATGCAGGAACAGCTTAGGAGTAATCGCAATCCTCTGTGAATTTACAAGCAGAGCTGTAAGTTTAAGGAACAAGAGCCGACAGCTTCTCTCTTTATTGTCTCCAGCGGAATTTGTTTTTGACAATTGACCACCTGCTGCTCTCACGGCAGTTTAGAAACAATTTTGCTGGAACATTTTTAAGAAAGCTGTAACTCAGAATCCCATTTTGCGAAAGGGCGAAAGGCATTAAGTTGTGTGTTTTTTGGCATCATTTAACACTGTTTTTAATTTACATCACATTGAAATTAAACACATAGAAATAATCATATGGCTTGCTTTATTTGGAAGGAAAATATTCTTCTTCAAGCTTGTACACATCATATTTTAATACAGACACAACTATAAACAAACAGTGTATACATGCAGAATAAACATCCAACCACTTGTCCTTTTATGAAAAGGTTCACTGTGAGCATGCATGCTCTGTGCATGCACCCAAGTGTGTGTCCTTATGTAGTGCCTCACCATCCATGTCCAGTCTCTGCATGATGATGGCCAGCTCCACTTCGCTGGGCATGTAACCCAGGGAGCGCATGGCCATGCCCAGCTCTTGTTTGGAGATGAAACCATTCCCATCCCGATCCAAAACACGAAACGCCTCACGGATCTCTGCATGACAAAGACAGAACACATCACCATACATCACTGTCTGTCTGACTTGCTCCTTTCTTTAGTAGTTTAGTAGAAAAATTGTTTTCATTCTTACATTCTAAGTATTTCTATAAATATTATGTATGTAAACAGTATATTATCCAATGTTTTGTTAACACTGGGGTAGATCCATGTATGTGATTCAAAGTCTTCGTTTTGTGGCTGCTGATTTTTTGCTGAGTTTGAGTTTCTGGGCAGGTGTGGTGTAAGATGTGAATGTGTCTTTCGCCTCTCCCTCACTTTTTCATTTATTTTCCTCTCCTTGTTTTGTACGTGTCTTAAAGGTTGGAGGGCTGTTCACAGCAGCTGTTCATCTCTGTCTGTGTGTGTGTGTGTGTGTGTACTTGCCTATTTTATTCATTCATATTTGGGAAGCTGTGACTGACTCTGAAGCATTTGTCATGTTATCAGGAGGTTTCTTTACATTTTCACCATACAAGTGCAACCACTAATTTTGGTTTCTTGATTTGTGTGTGGAATGTGTGGCTTTTTTTTCTTCAGATAGTCTCCTTGAATTTCTATGTGTTTGATCTTTGTGTCTCTGTGTAATGTCTATTATCATTTCCCTGTCTATACTGTTTGTTACTTGCGGTCGTGTGAATAATGATTGTTGTCTCTTAGGTGCAAAGGCAGAAAATAGTGTGAGGTTGTCAAAACGGTTGGGCTGGATGGTTGGTTTACCAAATTGTGTGACAATTGTGTGATCGGAGACTGCTGTTTGCATCCCTTCTGCAATGGTTTCTTTTAATCATTACCACAATTATTCTCTAACTCCTTAAATGATTGCTTGTATGCGAAACCTGACTCTGCATGAGATTCAACTATATGTTTTCCAGCCCACAACTTCACTGCAGGAGAACCCACTGAACACTACCCGCTCAGCACCAAACAGCAGACACCTGGTGAAAATAGAGGAACGTTTAGCAGCTAAAGACCCAAATACTCCTCAATAGTTGGTAGAGACCAAAAACAGTGCAAAAAAAATGAATGTTGGACTTGCATGTGTCAGGTGGCAAGAAACACAACTCCAAATAAATGCTAATGTTTCTCCATATTTTCATTTCATTTATTTCGGTTTGGTCATTTACAGATCATTCATTCAATCAAATCATTCAAAACATAAACACTATAGATGACCAGGTGCAGGCAGAAGCTAAAGCTTATTGTGCCTGCCCTCAACTTTAGAATCATAAATGCAACTCATTAATAACAACATCTGTTCATAATTAACAGTAACACATTAGTGGACCATTGTCCACACCAGAAACAAGCCTATTTAATTAATTTTCATTCTAATAAATATTTTTCCAATGTTATTCTCTTGTAGATATTTTTAAACTGAAAAATAGACGTGGCTTGTTTTAACTCATTACAGCAACTATTCCACAATTTAACTCCTTTATTTGATAAACAATGTTCTCTTAATGTAGAATGTACTTGTGGTTGATTAAATATACATAATCCTCTAAGATTATATTTACTTTCTCGCTGGGTAAATAATAATTGCAAGCATTTAGGAGTTTTATTATATTTGACTTGATAAATAAACTTTAATGTGTACAAATCAACTAAGTCATAAAACAATTCAAAATTTTTGATTGATGAAACAGTAAATTACTTGGTGAATTATAAGGTGCATAGTTAATTAATCTGATAACCTTCTTTTGTAATAGGAAAATTGGATTGGTTCTAGTTCTGTATGTATTTCCCCATATTTCAATACCATACGTTAAGTATGGTGTGACAAGTGAACTATAAAGTAAATGTAATGCATTTTTGTTCAAAATATATTGCAACTTATACAAAATTGCAATCGTTTTTGATACTTTCTTCTGAACGTTAAAAATATGCGGTTTCCATGTCATTTTACAATCAATAATTACTCCAAGGAATTTTATATGATTTACTCTTTCTAATGCATTATCATTAATAGTAATCCTGATCTCATTATTTATCTCTTATTACTAAATACCATAAATTTAGTTTTATTTAAATTTAATGACAATTTATTCAAACCAAACCAATTCTTTAGTTTATATAATTCTTTCTCTACCACCAACACAAGCTCTGTAAAATTTGGGTCAGAACAATAAATTGTTGTATCATTCGCAAAAAGAATAAAATTTAAAACATCAGACACTTTACAAATATCGTTTATATATAACAAAATAACTTGGGGCCCAAAACAGAGCCTTGCGGAACGCCACAATTAATTCTCTGAAAGCAGGACGCAACTCCATTTAAATTAACATACTGAAAACGGTCTGTTAAATAATTTTCTAACCAAGAATATACATTTCCCCTAAATCCATATTTTTCCAATTTATATAATAATTTTCTGTGGTCGATGGTATCAAAAGCTTTCTGTAAATCCAAAAAAACTCCGATTGTATGTAATTTGTTATCTACTGATTGTGATATATTTTCTACCATTTTAACAACTGCCATTGTTGTTGACCTATGAGCTCTGAAACCAAACTGATATTCATTTATTATATTATTTACTTCAACATAGCTATCTAATCTTTTAACAAATAATTTCTCTAATATTTTTGAAAATTGTGACAACAGAGAAATAGGTCGATAACTACAAAACAAATGTTTGTCAATGTTTTTCATATCTGCTTGATGTGTAAAGGAATTGTTTGCTAACATGTTCACCGTATTAACTTAATGATGATGACGTGTCAGTGTTGTGTTTACAGCTTGTTGCATATCCACCAAGCGTCCAAAACAATGACTTAATGCGGGTTTAATCAACCAGTCTTTGTACCTTAAACTAACTGTTGTTGCCAATTTTGCTGAGTGTAATATATTGTGTGTGTGTGTTGCGTCACCTGCACACCTAAGTGCACTGGCAGGTAATCACAGAAGTCAAGTAGCCTAGGGGAGACACAGGTGAACGCTGCAGGGAATCCACACAGTTTTTCAACCGTAAATGTGTGTTTGTGCTAGTCTTATCCTGTCATAGTTGGTCAATTCGTTTTTTGTGTCATTCATTCAGTGCACCAGGTTTTTGTAGGTGTTTTGTGATCTATATACAAATAAAGTGTGACATGCCTAATCCATGGAAGACCTCTTTTCTTCTTCTTTTTTGGATTACTACACGTTGGAAATGCCTTCAAATTCCCCCAAGTGGCTTATTTTGTTGTTTCATTGCCACCACAGTAACCAAACCTTAACCACAGTGGTCGCAGACTAGACTCATATGACTCATTTGTAACTATAACAAGGTTGTCTTGACAACAGGGGCACCATATCAGAAAATGCTCATATGGGTTTATTTGGAGGGCAATCAAAACCAGCCTACTTGATGTTCAGGTTTGAAGACTTTCTGATTTTAAGACTTCCATGACGTTTCAGTTGTATGACTGTGTCTACAGCCATCGGATGGTGTCAGTGAGATGGACTAATCCATGAGATGAAATTAATGATTAACAGATTTGAGCAGGTCTGTAGATGGTGCTTTCCTGGTGCTGATAACAGGTTTTCCCATTAACAGGAAGTGCTGCCGCCTTTCTCTCAGGCATATCAAGGTGAGGGTGATCTCCCCCTTTCTCTCCTTCTTTTTCCTTGTCTCTCTTACATCTTTACAGACTTTGTGTTGTATTTTCCAACCCCCAAGGGACCTGTACCAATCCCTCCACACAGCACAATCACTACCACCATTGCCAAGAGCATTTCCCACTCTCTCTTCCCACATAAAGGGCTTCCTTCTAACTTGAAATTGTAAGTAAATGCACACAACTCATGAGGCATCTATCTGTTCGTGCTGCACAATTACTCAAACCTCTGAGGACCTTCTTACAACATACCCTGGTCAATCTCCAGCTAATTACCTGCCAATCAGTTGGCTATCTGAGCAGGGGTGGAAGGGGGAAGGCGGAGCTTTGGGCAGGGGTGGAGGTTGTTGAATTTACCGACTTGATAAAGACTGCAGAGACAGGACAGACTTTGCAAGTCCTTATTCAACATCTTTACACGGGTGAGCGCTCCATTTTCCTGTGGATCTCTACACTTCGGGTGTGGGAGAGGGTGTCATTTCAGCTGGCATTCAGCATTTGTGCAAATCTTTACAGGAGAAACATAAATGAGAAGAGTCATAGTCTAATGCACGATGGAATTTAAATCACAATTTCCCCTAAGACTAATCCTTTTCCTAACTGGAACAATGAATTTTACATGAAGTTCATCTCTCTCTGTCTCTCACAGGCTGCGTGTCATTAATATTCTCGTCCTGACATGCTGCTCCTTCCTTTCTCTGTGTAATAAGTCCATCTCAGATCTGCCGCCTATGCCTTTCTTGGCTATGTCAGTTGCGCAGGAGCCGAAGTTCAGTCGCAGCCCCCATCTAAGCCTTTAAATACCCCCCTACGGGTGATAACTAGGCTCGAGCACTGTGCCACTGCCTCCCTTTCTCTTTCACTAAATAAAGTGAGAATCAGAGACGAGGGATTGGGAATGCGGTTGAGTGTGCGGCCTCCCAAAACAAAGTGAGTATGCATTTGTATGCAGCTCAACAGTAAGTACGTTTTCAATAGGGTACGAATGAGCTGGCCTGTGATGTATTACTTTGTAATGCCTGTGTTTGGGGGTGTGTGTGTCTGTGTTTGTGTGTGGGAGCATGCAGCCCTGCCTGTGTGCGCCTGTGTATTAGGAAAGTCAACCCCTCAGGACTGTACATGTTCTCACAAAGATTGATGAAATGCCTCAAAATCAGAGAAAAGGATAGCGGCGATCCAACGCAGGGGTGATTAACTACCCTTCTTTCTACGCTAACAGATCCTAGAAGAACCTTCCACATCTCTCTGAAGTGGGATTAGGAGTTTTCCAATGCTGGCAGCAAATACCACAGATATTTTGTCCACATCAAACAATCCCATTGGTTGGATCTGGGGGCCTAGATAATGCCTCATCATGTCTGTAGTCTAAAGGTCCAAATTAATATATAATAGCTCTACATAGGTCCAAACTAGTTTACCCTTCTTGCTGTCCTTGAAAAACAAAACACAGACAGAAGTCAACTGGACTCATGGTGATGAGATGTTTCAGTCACTGTACCAGCTCTGCCTACACTAAAGCAAGTGTTTTAGTGAAATGGGTTGAATCAAGTTGTGCACAAGGGACACTGGATTAAAAGATTTATGCGACAAAGTACTTCATATCAAAGCTCATTCGAGCAAACTACAATAGGCCACATATATAAAGACAAACAAACAGCCTCAGTCAGAAACACACTCTCAGTCTCTCTGTCCTCACTCAGTGACAGGATTAGCTGTTTCTTTCCCACCAAAGCAACCCATTTCAGAAATATGCGCACTCATTGCAGTCTTTGTATTGGCAATTAGCACATGTGAGATTCTGTCATAGGAAAGCCTCAAATCACAACCCAATTGTAAAGACATACAGTATGCTTTAAGATCCCTGAGCCTGTAGTCAGTCTTGCACTCACTGAACACACACTGAAAAGACTGCAGGAGAGTAAAACACCCTCAGCGTCAGTTTAAGCCAATTTAAAGGAGTTTGGTGGGTTGGGTTTCATTTTCTTGCCATGGGTTATGAAACATTTGTACTCACCAAAGCAATTGTTGAGATCTGTGAAAAATGCTCTAAATATGTCCAGCACAAAAAAGTACAAGCAGTCAGAAAACAAGCTGACAATTTTACCAGATAAGATATCACTTAAATTGAAGGTAATACTCAAAAAGAGTGTAGCTGTAATGACACTAATAATCCCTAATGCGAATGTGCATGAAAACTGTGAGTGCGCACAACCACGGTAAGTACTGCAGGAATAGACTGTACATAAAAAGACTGCAGGTGAAAGTAGAACCAGGAGGTCTGTCTGTGTACTGTGATAGGGATGTTTTACACCGGACAGTTTGAGCTGTTATTTTACTATCTGCCTTTGTATGTTTTTACGACCTGCCTGTGAGCCAATTCAAAGAATCGGATTGATGGACCGACTTTTAGCAATGCTGCCACATTCCTAAATCTCAGGAATTACTTTGGTGAGTCCAATGTTATCAGACTGACACAACCAATAGCCAGAGCTATGAAAGCAAACCCCATGTTTTAAAAGAGTAAGTGATTCTGGAGACGAGTTGTTGATATTTGAACTGCCGAACAAACAAATCTCTCCTTTCAGTGCTCCCTCAAAAACTCCGCCCCCAAATTGCAAATATCAAAGGTTTCTCCAGCATTGAAATGCCTTGGTCATTGCCTGGCCATATAACTTTCGTCACTGTTTATACTCTTTTCCTATCTGACCGTTTCTCGGCCATCTCTCCTTCTTCACAGTGCCTTGAGTCCAGCACGTCCTTGTTGCTGGGCACGAGCACTAATGTCACCTGTTGCTGATTGGCTGAAACAATGTTGTGTGGCAAGGTCCACACCACTTTCTTTGTTTTCCATTTACAGAGCCAGGGCTGTGTAGGATTTTTTTTAGATCACCACACAACGGAGAGCTAGCAGTGAGGAAATATATTCAGATTTAATAAAAAGTGTATTTACAATCACCTACTATCCCTTTAATAAACCATAATTTAAACATTAGGGTGCTGCTTTAGAAACCACTAAATTTGTCTTTTTTGTAGTGGCTATTTAAGCATTATGTTAAATACATGTATTAGTCTGGAAACTACAAATTAACTTAATTAATTAAAAATCTTTCTGTAATCTAACCGAAAGCTTATAAGGCCATGTTTGAATGAGGATACTAATATCAATAGATTGGTGTGCTAATTCACGCCTGGTCATATATATTTTATTTCTGTCAGACACTTCTTCATTCTGAGTCCTTTGACTGCTTTTATTTCCTAAGCGCCGTAATTGGAAACTAATGCATCAAGTCAAGCTCTGACAAAATGGCTAAATGGAAAAACTTTTCCCCCGAGAGAATTGGAGCGTTGTAACTGCATTGTTCCAGTAGTGAAACATTAATTGCTAGTGCACCACACTTTACTCTGCAGCCCCACCTCCCACCCTCTCTTACTGTGTCAGAACACTCACCTCCCAGCTCCTCAGTGGAGATGCTGGTGAGCTGGAAGGCTTCGCTGCCCTCCGTCAAGGAGCTGCTCAGGTAGTTGTCTGGATAGAGCAGGCCCGCCCGCACATGGTGGAATGGCATCTTCTCCCTGGAGAGCACACACACATTCTGTCTAAATAAACCTTGCATGCAACTACAGGTAAGAAGCATTTGTGTCTCACTGTGTGCGTGTATATTCAAACCCCATGGCTACCAGCGCGGTCATGAGCCTTTTTTAGAAACACCATCTCTTGTGGAGGGAACATTGTTCCTTCCACTCTGCTAATGCTCATTTCTGGGTGAAGCCACTGTCTCCTCGTGGCACAATCACACTGACAAATTATGTAATCACATTATAATTCAATGGAGTCACAAAAAATATTCCTCTGTTATTGTTCTGATAAACACCATCAAAGTACAATCAGGAACTCTGTATTATCCAGCAATCATTCTCTCGCTGTCTTTCTCCTGCTCGCTCTTTGTTCAGCCTCCTTGGTCCACAGAGGAAAAGCACTAAAATCCTGTCACTCGCTATCGTTTCTTCTAACCCCCCTCACTCCCGTCAGATCTCCCGACTTCCCATTCCGTCAGACAATCCCCACTGCCACCCAACCCCTCACCAAGAGACCTCAGGGCTTGACAGGGCATCAATCAACCAAGGCCCCTGCTGTCATATGATCAGAGCGGTTCTCTGCTTTGATTCACGAGAGCCCCTCCCCGGGAGCTTTCCCAGTGTAATATTTTGACACTTTGGTAATATGCTTCATGTAATATTCCATCCAATAGTACAACTTGAACTGAACCGAGGCTAGGTGAGGCAGAGAAAGAAAGATAGAGAGGGAAGAAGAGATAGAGATCCCGTGAGTCTTTTGAGAGCGGGCCGCTGCCAGACAGGAGCGATAGAGATAGAAGTAAGGATGTCTCTGTCACAGGAAACATGGTCAGAGTATAAACATCCTTTCCTCTACTCACTGTTATTTGAGAATCAAATCCTTTGTGGATCTTGGAATGAGAGCCAAGGGAGTTAAAGGACACTGGCTGAGCGTCAAGACTAAGACAGTTTAAAAGGTTAAGAGCCGTGGGATAGGTGCAAGTCTGCTCTGGCGATCTCTAGAGGACACCAGCTGTGAAAATGGCTATGCTCATGTGTGCATGTGACAGAGATAGCCCGCAAACAGGGTGTGTGCAGAAAGGTGCGTACGTGCACACAGTTTGGGAGCTCTGAGCATTATGCAGTCTTCAGTCCATCTGCTCCTGGGTCTACACTTGTCTCACCTGCACATGAAAGGTACTAAACATGTATCTGTTCTGCAATCATGAGTTTCAGCCAAGAAGATGCAAACACACACACACACACACACAGACACAGACACATACGCTAAGGTCTTATTAATTCCTGCCATCCCACGGAAGGTACAGAATAAACTCTTTAAAATTACATTTAAATTTATATTTGTATTATATCCAATCTATCATTGTGTCTTGAAGTGAGACTATAACTTTCATAAGAAGAAATATTGTGTTTCCTCTTTCAAATGAAAAGTTGAATTTAAAAATACTAAAATGCAATGCTGTTCAATTTAATACACTCAGGTGCTTTGCTGCTTCAGCCATCTAGTAGCTTGTGGTGGCTAATGTTAGAGTTAGTAAATTAGATGTTGCTGTGTAACTGTTAGTTTGAGTGTGTTTGCTGACTTTATGACTCTTCTCTGCTAGGGCAACAGGTGTACACGTAATATATGACTACTAAAATGACAAAGTGAGATAGGTAGAGACAAGTTGTCTCAACCTTGGCTGCTTTTTCTGATATGTTGTTGTTTATTTCAAGCGGTAACTGATTAGGCCTTCAGGTATAAACGGTAAATGGACTGGACTTGTATAGTGCCTATCTAGTCTTGCGACCACTCAAAGGGCTTTACAAGTGCATGTCACATTCACCCCATTCACACACATTCATACACTGATGGCAGTGGCTGTCATGCAAGGTACCAGCTGCATATCAGAAATGAACTAACACATTCATTCAGTCAGTACACATGCACATAGTTGAGTAACCATGCTGGGAATACGTGCATATTGTGTTGGGGTGCTAAGTTTATATGTTGACATGTATGTGCCAGTACAATGTATTTACATCTTTTGTTAATTTATGTGTATGTGCACATGCATAAAATGTTCATTTCTTGAGTGAGCTTCTGCAGAAAGTGTAAATTAATAAATCCATGTGCATGTTCAAATTCCTACGCGTGCATTAGTGCATGCATGTCTGTGAGACAAGCTCATGTGTGTACCTGTACAGTAGATGTTGGAAACTTGCATGTTTATGAGATTATTATTTTCTCGCGATGGTGAACATGTAGTAATGGCTATTCAATAAATGACTTCCCTAAATTCTTCAACTCCTCAAATTAAACCAGCAATTATTTAGTTCAGTGCACAAATTAATAAGACATATGATATGAAATTAATATGAGAATGTATTTTAACAGTCCATCTGCTCTCACAATTGTTCCTCTGGCAGAAACACCCACTCACTCATGGCAAAAACCAGCAGACACGCATACACATACATCTAACTTAGATTTTTTCTTTATTTTTCTACCTCTCCCTCTCTCTTGCTCACTCCCAATTTTTCTCCCATATACTTTTGGATTGTGTTTTTTCTAGTCGTGAAAACACAGACTGTTGTCACAGAGACGGACATGAGAGCTGACAAGGACAAGCTTCAGCAGAAAACCTCCATCTGATAAGCCTCATTGCCTGGCTGAGAGCAGGAAGAGAAGCTGCAGAAAGACAGACAGACAGACAGACAGACAGGTGAGAGACGGGGGGGAAAGGGGATGAAAGGAGCAAATGAAAGTGGGCTGACTGACAGTGTTTGAACTGTGGGGTCACCTGCACCCCAGGGAGCCGTGTTTCAAGTCTGATCAGAACGAATTTAAGCTCAGACAGGAGGGAAGAGGCTGAGATGAAGGGAAAAGAGGAACTGAGATTGAGCCAAAAGCTGGGAATGGTCAGAAATGAAAATCGTGTTTATTCCTCACCTCCCTCTGTCCCCATGGAGAGAAATGCATTAGCAGAATGGCAAAAAAGAGCTGAGGGGTCAAAGCAGTATTTTTCCCAACAGCACATGCACTTGTCATCACAAGCAGACAGCCCTGACAAGACAATAGTACTAGAGAAGCGGACCTTAACTGCCAGATCAAAGGAAAAGGGTTGTTACTACTGTCACAGCTAACAAATAACCATCAAAACATGCAAACCTGTTTGATTTAACTTCATCCAAGGACTCTCTGAAGTGCACAGGGTCTGTTAGCTCGCCAGGCAGACTACAAGATAAATCAAACAAATATTCTCTTTTTCCTTCAAGCCACTAAAACGTCAGTTAGCTCTCCATGTCTTCTCCAGTTTGGAAGGTAAGGCCCCTGCCGTCTGCCAAAAATAATGAGAGACCACACTTGATCAGCTGAAGCGCCAGCATTGGATTAAGGTAAACTGCAACTCTGTGATTTGTCACATAGTACACAAATAAATAAAAAAATGGGGACCAATTTTACACATCAAAGAAGGACATGTGCTGCCTCAACAGGCAACCAACAATAAAATGGCTTCTTATTAGATTTACAGTTAAACCAATAATAAAAATGATTAATTGAATTCAATTTGCTCTCTTTGTTTTTCTGTCTCTGCTCAATGTCACATCGTCAGTGTCCTGGTGAAGTCACCTTGGGCAAAGATAGGCAGCCTGTGATCTCTGCTGTCTCTCTCAGGGCTGTTCTCTAAAAACGTTTCCTCAGCAGAGGCGCTGGATGGGCTGCCCAACTTGTCACCTACAGCCGCTCTCCCGGAGGTCAACCTGGGTCATCCAACACGCTCTGTCTGACCGAAACACCAGCGTCTAATTGAATAGCTCTGATGCTTCGCCTCCAGGCAGAGGAGGTGTGAACTTATGCACCTTTGGTCTTCCGTCAGGTGGTCTGAAACGACGCTTGTATGTGATGATGATTATGATGGTCCGCCACGCTGCGCGCATCTGCAGCGGAGGGAGCGCAGCTAGACTCACACCGCCTGATGCTCAAAGCCGCTGCTACATATCACCCTCATTGCACCGAGAATGGGTTGTCTGAGAATTAAAAAAAATCCATGCGCGTTACCCGCCAAAAATGCTCGCATCCACAATGCCACGCACGTAGTGTAACACCCTTCATCCGTTCCCATGAACAGACGGGTCTCCTCCAGGGTCTCAGATGATGAATGTGTGTGAGGCAGGTGACAGACTTGGCCTTCATGCTTTATGACTGTGGAGTTTTAGAGCATCTGGCAATGAGAATGGATACTTCTGGGCTTTAGACTGCAGCTAGTCCACATTTATCAGAACCAATATGGGAGCTGCTACAGCTTGAGTGAGCAGCGCAACGTTGATAAAGCCACAAAGCACGATGTAGCCTAAAGTGTGTGATGGAGTGCTTTACATCCAGCTGCGTGTTGAGACAATTATACTGTAATGACTTATACTGTAATAGCGCCTGTGTGATGGGCCGATAATCGCCCAATCACACCGATCAAACCCACACTGCGCGCACTGACGCGCGCAGCGCACACAAACAGCTGGAAAGACATTTCAGGAGCAGTGGAAATAGTCAGATACTAAATGCAAATAGACATAGACATCATCAGGTTGTCAGCCATTAAAACAGCACAGCTCAACACATAGAGGTCTATTTAAACACGCGCACACGCACGCCCCGCACATTCACACAGATTACAACAGGTGCAGTCCCTTGTGCGGCTCTGCGGCCATCAGCGGAACCGACGCATGGGCGGCCGGTCGCGGTAATCACCTTTATCACCTTTAACAAGCCAACCCAGAGGTGACACACAAATTAACCGTCGGGGCATCGCCTACCTGCCTGTGAAAGGACTGGTCCCCCGGTGTGAGATTCACCCCGCTCGGTTAAAACACCGTTGGAGGATATGCTGAGGGTGTTTTGAATTGCCAAGATGTGTTTAGTCTGTTTGCATCCGTCCTGTGCTCTTGAGGAGTCCGTCCGACATCCGAAGATGGACTCATTCAGTCTGTGTGAGGGACCTGCCTCGGGGATTCACCAGTGTCATGTGCTGCACACTTTTTAGATAGTTATTATTTTTAAATCAACTGGTTAGGTGAGGACGATGGTGGTGATGCTGATGGTGCTGTTGGATTTTGTCCGTTTTAGCTGAAGCCCAGAGCCACATGAATGGCCTCCCATCCGTTTTCTACATCTCACTTCTCATCGCCATATCTTGAAAATTTGGGATGAAGCAGTTGGTAGGTAGAGTGCCAAATCTTCGTCAGTTCGCCCAGACGGACGCCACCCAGCCGCCCACGGGTCTGGTTCTAAGAGAACCGGTGCTGCTGCTGATGTTGTTGTAGCTGGTAGCCTCTTCAAAAATAATAAATCACGATTTTAATTCAACGTACTCTGTCGAATCAACACGGCGGAGAAGAGAGGATGATGCCTTTGAGCGCAGATCGGTCAGAGGGATGGGAAGGGATCTCCCGACGCTCCCGGTGCATTTATTTCGGTTACTCCTGGTCACAGAGTTAACCCATTTAGCGGTCCAGTTCTGTAAGGGAGGGGCCACATCGGGGGCCACGGTAGCAGAGGTGCGACTGTGTAGGCTAGGTGAGCTGGAAATATACGACGCCGTAGCACTCAATGGGAGATGCCCTCCTGGCAGGTGTGTGTGTGTGTGTGTGTGTGTGTGTGAGAGAGAGAGAGAGAGAGAGAGAGAGAGAGAGAGAGAGAGGGGGGGGTCTGAAGTCCGAGCAATTAAGGTTTCAATGGATCTGTGAAGCTACAACATTTCCCCTGGGAAAAGTGTATATGTGTGTGTGTGTGTGTGTGTGTGTGTGTGTGTGTGTGTGTGTGTGTGTGTGTTTTCATTTAGCCTTTCTTCACAGCTTTAAGAGTCATTGATGACCAATTATGGTGTTTAGGAAATGCCATCAGCTGCAGTACTTAAATGATGCAGTATTTCCAAACCCCCCCCCCCCCTCTCCTCCTGAACCACCTCATCCTTCTACTTCTTCTTCTTCTTCTTCTTCTTCTTTGGTCCCTTCCTCCACCCAAACCTCTTAAGTAGGCATCCTCTCCCCCCTATTATCTTCAGATCAGGCTCTGTGTTTTCACTCTCAGCCTCTGATTAGAAAACCCCACCACTATCCCATTTACAGCCTTATACTAATTATGTAATAGCCTGTGTTTCCCCCCCACCAACAGCTCAATTTCAGTCTTAGCCTTGAGGTTGAAAACTGTGTCTCCCACACTGCTGCACTGTTATAATTAAAAGTAATACAGCACCCAATGTAGCCAACCCTTCTGCTGATTGCAGTGGGTTAAAAGATTAAGCATGCGCCTCAGGATTTAACTGTGTGAGACTAGACTGCTGTTTGTCACTGGGAGTTGAGGCATCAGTGAAAAGTAAATATAACACAAGTGAGTCATAAATGTTTCACCCTGGTGCTCTAACAGCACTGTGGGCATATCTAATGAGCCTGACAAAGGGTTTGAACAGATTCTTTCTAAGTTCATGGGAAAACTAGGCCAATCTGATCCAAAGTCACTGAATTTATTTACCCTTTAATTCTCATAGAAATCATATTAAAGAGGTGGAAGTTTTTTGAACACGTGCTTGCCTGCTGTGTTTGATTTTTTTTCTTGGCGCTGTCCATGGTACTGTAGGGCTTTCATTAACAGAGGCAGGAGAAATGAAGGTGAAGTATTCATCGCCACCTCATGTCAGCATTTACAAACAACCAAACCTGCAGGACTGCAATTTATGTATATACTCATAGCCAGAATCACAAAATCTGATTAATTTTGAGTAGTTTTAGAAACTCATTACTTATCGTAACTGGGTATTTTCTTAATATACTTTTTTTTCAGTGTCAGGCAGCTGTTTTAATCCTGTTTATGTTGTTTGTATTTATTGTTGTCACAATTCTTCAGTGTTGCCCCCTTGTCCGGGACTCTCTTGACTTTTACCTGGTACTAGAGCTGCAATGATTGTTTTATTAATTTTCAGTCACTCGAAATGCTATATGTTTTGCAAATAATATTCATTTTTAAAAAGTTATATTTCAAGCAGTAATGGCAGGAATTTTCTGGTTCCATCTACTCAGATATGAGAGTTGGCTGTTTTTCTTTGTCTTACATCATAGTAAGTTTTATGTCTTTGGCCTACTGGTCGTGGAAAGCAAGACATTTGATGGCATCACCTTGTGCTCTAGGATACTGTGATGGGCATTGTTTTTATGTTTTCTGATCATTCTAGACCAAATGATTAGGCGATGAACTGAGAAGATAATTGGCAGGTTTATTGATAATATTGTACATAATCGTTAGCTGCAGCCCCACCTGGTACCTGCCTGGTTAAAGAAAGGCTAAATGAAAAATGGAAAAGAAACTTCACGACAAGCCTCCAAAACAGTGACAGTGCTCCCTGTCATAGATTCATGTCTCTTAACTCTACTGGAGGGAACAGTTTTCTTCAAAAATATATTCTCTCGTTTTGATGATGGTGATGGAAAAGTCTCTCTCATAGGTGTTCAGTTGGGTATAGATCTGGTGACTGTGAAGGCCAAAGCCTCTGATTCACATAATTTCAGTGACTCGTGCACCGTTTTTCCTTTCAATTTTTCACCCATCTGTATGCATCTGCTGCCCTAAATGGACACAGCTGTGTGTGGCAGGTATTTGGCCAGGTGATAATCTAAATCTCACGCTGAGTTGAGTACAACACTCAGGTGTTGAGAAATGCAAATTGGGTGTTTTTTTGGATGGAGGGTGGGTTGGTCATACACTGTTTATTATGCTGCAAACATGGGACAAGAAGAACACCGTCACATAATGACAAAATGTCAGCAGCCCCTCTTTGTGTTTCCTTAATTACAAACCTCTCCACTGAGGCAAAGAACTTGACTTATTTTCAGCATCTTGATTCACTGTGTTACAGTTCCCTGCTGACTGGCTGACTAATACACTCTGAATATATATTCACAGCTGGATCCTGCCAAGTGACCTGAGAGAACTGACAATGGCAAAACTTCAGGCTTCACAAATATAAAGAAAGGACTAATGAGAGGATGTCTAAACCTTAAATAGAGCCACTGGGACACACTAACATGGACTCTGACCTCACAACAAATAAACATAGGGAGTCATGTTGGCAATCAAGTGGGGCTGCCCTATTTTTCTTGTAATGTTTTCTCACTAATAGAGATGTGCTTTTATCCTGCCTCCTGAGCTTTAATCACTTCATAAATGAGACTGTGACTAATAAAAAAAAATAATAATAATAATATAAGGGAGTGACATGTGATAAAAGGTATTTGAAAGGCTGAATCTCGGAGCAGTCATTTATTTTAGAAATTTATTCAATAGGTCCAAATTTAAAAAAAGAAAGAAAACTTTGCATTTACAGATTGTGTGAATGAACCTGAATGAACTGATAGACTGAAAGAGTCTCTGTTGAGGTTACACAGCAGTCGTCTGAACAAGAACATTAGCATTTCAAAGTTCATTTCAGATATGGCAGATAAATTTATTTCCTCCACAACAGTGAAAGGTGATGATAATGTGCTGTTTCAATAGCCTCTTAAGAGTGGGTATTTATCAAAATGAAGCATTATCTTGAAGGGTGCCAAAGTTTGTGATTTCAGTTGAGCCTGGTGATGATAAACTCAGATTGGAGCTATTGGGAAATGGAGGGTAACTTTCTGTCCTTATACTGCAGTTTTAAAGCTGTAGAAGAGGCAAGCCTCCACTGGACGTATCTCAACTTTGTAAAGTTGCAACTGGCAGAGGAACTGTGCCTTGATCTTTGTTTGCTGCTCCCTTATGAAGTGGAAACCTGGCAGCCACGGGAACACGTGAAAGCAGATTAGGGTGTCAGATCACAACCCTGCTGTATAATACATTCAACATCTCTCCAAATCCAACCTCATTTTCATTAGCATTTAAATATTGTCATCATCTATTCCACTCCACATCCCTGCCACACTTATTCCAAGTCCTGCTGCAGTGATGACCTTCTATGGGGAAGAAAATTACATTTGAAATTCCTAAACTGGTTTATTCACATTCACCTATGTACCCAGGATTGTGAAAAGGGCGACATACTTAAATAATCAGCAGAAAAGTGCAGCATAGTGCTTTCTGTGTGTCTGCAACACAGTGGGAGTGTGCAGAGATCAAGAGAAATCTGAAGGAAGCTGGTGAATTCGTTCACCAGTTTCATTCATATATTCATATCATTCAATCATTCGCAATCGTCATCGCAACATTACAGCTCAAAGGTCAACCAGCCAAACAATAAGCTTGGCCACCCTGTGTGATTATAAAAAACAGTTGCTTACACACAAACTCACACACACAGATAAATGAAGAAATCACCTGTAACATATACAATACCCTCAAGAGATGGGAATACAACTTAAAGTTCACCCCAGAAAGGTTACGTCTGCAACACCACATGAAAAATGCAAAGCTGACTGGATATAACATTCGGACCTATGTGTGTACAGACGTGTACAATTTGTGAGAGATGGAATCCGACCACCTGATTGCAGATTAAATAACAAGACATGACAATTTTGCTTCACACAGTAAAAATGGGACTGACCTTGTGTAGGTTGTGGAAAAGTTGCAGTAGAAAATTAAAATGTACTTTTTGTTGTTGTGTAGCCCTGGGCACGAAGGCCAAGGCCAGAGGCATCCTGGCACTACATATTCCAAAAATACACACAAATGTGCTGTAATTGCAACGTTACCTTAAAAAACGTGAATTGTGATGGGTGTGAAAAACCTAGACCTGTTTGGTACACCAAAGCCAATAGTAAAAAGGCTAAATAATATTTGTCCCTGCAGGCATACATTTTTTAAAACTATTAATGTTGAATGTTTTATCTTTTCTTTGCTTCAGATATGATAGTATGAATGTAACTAAATGTGACCTGTCCATGTCTTATTCTGTCAGTCAATGCCCTGATTCCATATCAAATACAAATAAAATACACTGCACTAAATTGAGATATTTTGGCAGAACCATCACACCACCATGAACTGTATTTGCATACTAAAAACACTCTCTGAGTTAGTATACTGTATAGTGTGCAACTAGGACACAGAGAGTGGCTTCGAGAAAGTCAATGAAGCTTTACCTGCTCACAGTTTGTAAGCTATCCGTTAAATAACTAAAGTAACATGTGTTTGACAGCCTGTAATAACATGAACCGCGGTAACTTTAACATACAGTAGTTTGTTAACAGTGCTGTCCAAAGACCATAAAATTAGCAATTACTGCCAACTCCGGAGTAGTGACAGGCAAAGTGAGAGGCTGGTAAAACTATAACCCAGTTAGCTGTGCACTGCGACTCGCCTGATGACCTGCATACCTGCCAGAGGTATATGATGGATGTATCCTCAAAATGTAACACCATTTCCATTTGGAGATTACTGGGTGACTCATCATCTCCCTTTAAGAGGATACACTCAGAAATACACATGCATCTAAACATCACACACACACACACACACACACACACACACACATAAAAAGCTGGATTCCAATATATCATGCTCCTGCTTGTCAGTCAGTGTTGTTCATTGTGGACATGAGTGATCCACAGATCCATCCTTTGTGTTCTTTGCAGATTTCATTTCCTCACTCAATTATCCAGTAATGATTTG